AGGCACCGCTTTTGAGCGATCGATCCTCCTCCCTCCTGCCGCGGCGTCCTTGGATGCGATGGTGCGTCGAAGTTTGTTCGACAGTGCGAAGTAGTCATCGAGATGGGGACCAGAAAACGCTCGCCTGCGATGACGAGCTGTGGACGGATACAGTTCGGCGGCGAGCGAGGGGGAAATTGAGAAGGAGAAGGCCTTCTCAGAAGGCAGCGGGACTTCTCGGAAGCCCTCCAGCCTTCTGAGAAGTTTTTGTGTGTCTTCGGGGAGGGCTTCAAGCATTTCCCAGAAGCTTGAGGGATTTCTAAGCCCTCCTTCTCACTTCCCCCCCTCGCACGCCGTCGAACAGTGGAATCGCGCAGCAAGAGACCAGATGCTTTGCTTCAGGGGGGTCCTCGTGGCGCAAGCTGCGCGATGACTTCCCGCGAGCAGTAATAAGCTGCTGAGTTCGGGGCTCATTGGGCACCCCCCCGATTGCACATCTCGCGCCCTGGTTTTCAGGGTCGGGGTTCTCGCGAGTGCTTCTTGCGACCCTGGTCGCACTTCCGCATTTTGTTACATGGACGAACGTGTGTGTGTTTCTTACAGGTCCGACTGAGGCGCCCCGGCGCTCCCGAGCGACCCTTGCGCGGGACGCCTTCTGGGCGACCTCGGCGCCAGGCCGCGCCGCTCCTCCCCTCGGCACTCCTGCTGGGGAGGCAGGGCCGTCTTTGGTCTGCGGGCTTTCGGCCACGCGCGGAGAAGCCCTGTTAGAAGTACCCCTGCTTCTTAGAAGGCGCCTTCTAAGAAGCAGCCTCCTTCTTTCTAAAAGCCTCCGCCCCTCCCCCCGATAACCCTCTTGTGCGCGCCGCCACTGTCTGGTTGTTCTACTGTCTCTGGGGCGGTGGCGGAGATGGCGTGCGTGCGCCACCCGCCCCGAGGAGCGACGCTGCTGGCCCGCCAAGGACCCGTGGCGGGCGTGCTTATAAAGGAGCAAGGGCCGCGAAGATGGCGGCTCGTTTGCACGCGAAGCCCGTGCGTCCGTGCCGAGCTGGACGGAGGCCGGTGCCCGCAGCGGCGGGGGCCCGCACTCGGCTGCGGACTCCCCCAGACAGGGCACGGTTGGAGGCGCCGCGGGCGGAGGGCGGGCTTGAGAGTGTTGCCGTCGTTGCCCGTTCGCTGGCGGATCGCCTCCAAGCGGGAGCGCTGCATGCTGACCTCGCGGAGGAGTGGGGCGTTTTCTTTCGCGGAGATGATGGCGGCCATCGGCGAGGCGCGGTGCGAGGAGCTGTACGCGCTAGTCTGAGGCCCGGCTCCTCTCAACGCCGCAGCGGGCGCGGTTCTTAGGGACTGAGGTGTTCCAGGTGCAAGCGCTGCCGCTGCGGGATTTTGTCTCGCCATCCGGTGTGGGACGCACTTTGCGATGGGTGCCGCTCGGACCGATCTGGTAGACATATCCCCCCTCTCCTCCTTTCTGGAGTTGCGCACCTCCTCCTTCTGCTCATCCTCCTGCGCCCATCTCCTTTTCTTCATCAGTCGCCTCCCGTCGGCTCCCCGGCAGGAGGGCAGAAAGAGGAGTCGGTGGTTCAAAGATAGGGTCCTGAGGGATCGGGTCCAAAGGATGAGGAAGGGATCCAATGGTGGATTATTTCACAATGCGACCAGAGCCCCAGACCCTATTTTTCTGCTGCATTTTTCGAGCCAGATTGATCTGTGAGGGCCCTTGGGCTCGACACCTCACGAAAGCGCCTGGCCTGAAAAAATTGAAATGCCAGGATCTCAGGGAGGCACCTCGTACTGAGGACCCCATCCCTGAGGACCCAATCTTTGAACCACCGGGGGAAAGAGGGGAAGGCGGAAGGGGCCCAGGGATGGGGCCCTGAGGATGGAGAAGGGGCCCTGTAGAGATGGGGCCCTACGGGGTGGGGCCCTGAGGGATGGGGTCCTGGGGACGAGAAGGGGTCCAAGGGTGGATTTACACTGTTTCACGCACTTCGTCCTGAAGACCCCATGTCCTTGATGACCCCATCTTTGAACCACCAGAGGGAGAGGAGGGGAAGGCGGCAGGGCGGGGAGGGTCGCTCCAGCCGCCGGCCGCGTGCCCGTCGGCGTGCCAGCTGCCCTTTGGTGCAGCCGCGGCGGCCTCCATGTGGCCTGGGCGGCCGGCGGGGCGGGCCTGGGCCAGCGGAGGAGGGAGGAGGAGGGATTTGTTGTGCCCCGCCAGGAGGGAGGGGGAGGAGGCGGGAGGAGGGAGGAGGAGGAGGGACGAACCACCGAACAACCCGCTTCAGGAGGAGGAGCAGGAGGAGGGGACGAAACGCGTCAGGAGGAGGAGGAGGAGGAGGAGGAGACGAATCAGAGAAGGATGGACGAGGAGGAGGAGCAAGGAAGGACAAGACGCAGAGGAAGCACGAGGAGACAAGTAGCTGAGGGGAGTCGAACTTCGAGCACCGAGAATCGAACATCGAAGTTCGAGCCTCGAGGACCGAACTTCAAGCGTCGAGGATTGAAATTCGACGATCGAACATCGAGGATCAATCTTCGAGGATCAATCTTCAAGCGTCGGCAGCGTGAGCTTGCATGAGCTTGCCTCCGGGTCCAGCCACGTTTAGCCTCGGATCCTGGGCTCACTATCGGGGCCGACGCGCGACTCCCCCTTGAAGACGAAGGGTCCACGGGGAGACTTTTCGAGCTGACGCGACTTGCGTCAACTCGAATGGCGACCTCAGAAGGAACAAACACATACCGCCACATGATGTGGAGCAACAGGAGCACTGCCAATGCCCCATGAACTGCCGACTGGGAGCTTCGCGGCGTGCCTCAGCTCGCTGGAACGGGGCGAAACCTCGCCGCTGTGGCGTTGGACCAGCTACCCATTGAGTCAGAAATCCCCTGGGGCCCCGCGACGGCCGAGAATTCGTTCAGCATCGAGGGGCTGTCCTGGTCCTGACAGCCCTCTGTGCCGCGACGCTGGCGCGCCCCGAAGCCTCGACGACGAGAACTGCCCGAGGGCCCGGCTGTCCCCGACACATGCGGCAGCCCTCGTGCGACAAGGAGTTTCGGAACACGGGCAACGCTCCTCTTCTTGCCCAGAGCAGGGCGAGCGTTTGGGGGGAGCGCGAACAAAAACAACCCGCGGGAGCCCCCGATCTCTCCCCGCGCGGTGCACCCCCCAACCCCTGGCATGCCGCGGCGCGGTCGGGTTCCGAGGGCCGTCTTGGCAGGACCTCTGTGATCCTCTGGGCCTCCCCCCGCCTCCGTGGCACCACGCTCAGGCATGCCTGCATCGCCCCCCTCTTTTTCTAGAGGAAAAATGACTATGACATACACCGACTCTGGCCAGGTCCATCTTTGGCCTTGGATCGGTGCATACGCCCTCCTGTATTGGCCTAGAAGGCATATGCACCGAGCCTGGGCCCAGGATGGGCCTGGCCAAGACCAGTGCAGTGCATGTGCATAGTTCTCTTCGCCGATTGTTCTGCCATAGAAAACACTGGGTCCATCCACGATCCCAACGCTACGAAACCGAATGCAAAACTACGCATCCGCGCTCGCGAGGCCAGGAGAGGAGGATGAAGGAGGAGAGGAGGGGAGAGGAGGAGAGGGGAGGAGGACAATGAGGAGGAGGTGGAGGAGGAGGATGAGGAGCAGGGAGAAGGAGGAGAGGCAGAGGCGTAAAAGGAAGGAGAGGGGGATGAGGAGTGAGGGAGGGGAAAGAGGGGAGAAGGGATCCGCAAAACGACCCCCCGCAATGAAAATCATCGCGCAATGCCTGTCTCCGTGACTGCCCCACTTGCCACGCGCCTGGTGGGCGGAGCAGGGCGCCACAGGAGGGCGGCTATCTGTGCATCCTTGAGCCAGGTTTGCTGGTGCAGGCGCGGGCAAACTGACTAGCAGGCTCAATGGTCAACATATGTGGACCACCCCCAGTGACGTGTGCAGGACCTCAGATAGTCTGACTCATGGGACGGCTGGCAGGCGCAAAATAAATGAAGCGAGCTTGCACTGAGTGGCACACATTTAACACATCGAAATAGGGACGGGTGTAGAATACACGGCAGGTTGTCATCACGCAGTCTGTATGCAGTGATACATATACAGGTATACATGCATGCGTATGCGCATAGAAAAACACGCATCATATCACTACGTGTGTGCAGCATATGACCCGCGTCGATAATCTACCTCGCGTGCGCCATACCATTGGACCATACTGACATGGGTGTTTGTTGGTCTGGCCCACAATGTATACTGCACCAAACTTACGTAATTACTGCACACGGGGAACATCAAACATCTTGTATAGAGTATGCAAAATTGTTCTCTCCCATACTCGTTCCTGCCCCCCTCCTCTTTACCGTCATTCGCCTCCTCATCCGTGCTCCCTCCCTCATCCTCAGCTCATCCCCATCCCTCCTCCTCCGACCTCCTCGCATCCCTCCCTCCTGATCCTGCCTCCAGAACGACTCAATATGAATCCTACTGTCCCTCCTCTCATGACTATGTGCGGAAAATTGCCCCGCTCTCTCCGCGAGTTGTTTTGACTTAGCCCTGTGGACATCATGATCCGATGCCTTGTATGATTCTTCTAATCGGAAGGTTCTCGGTGTTTCAATATGATGCTGCCGCTGCAGCGTGGGCCTCATTTTGAGATCGGCGACTTCCTCCCGTCGCTCAGAATGGCGATCTCGCCCCAGCGTTGGCCACATTTCTGGGTCCGAATCCTTTCTCATCGTTGTCGCCCCCTCCTTTGCCATTCTCCGCCTTCCCCTGGTTCTCCTCCTGGTCCTCCTGCTCCTTCCGCTCCTTCCGACCCCGACCCCATCTACTCCGACCTCCGACCCCATCTACTCCAGCTGCGATCGGCGATGCGGCGCGGTCCTCCGACCCGATCTGCTCCGATCCTATCTCGGAGGCCTAGAACCTTCTTCTTGGCCGCCCCCGAGGCCGCTTCCGGACCCAGCTGCCGCCGGGGCATCCGCGCCGCGCGCGCTCCCCGCCCCCGCAGGCCGCACAGCGGACCCCGCCTCGACACAGCCGCAGACTGCGGCCACGGCCGTGATCGTGCCGGTGATGATCTGGGAGGGCGCCGGGGTCGTGGGACGTCAGCTGACCACCTCACCGATCCCGCCTGGGCCGATCCTGGGCCCATGATCGATGCACACGCCCTCCTGGCCTCGCCTGCGAGGCGTGTGCTCCGATCATGGGCCCAAAGCCCCCAGGCCGAAGCCCCAGGGCCCAGGGCCCAGGCCCTGGGCCGCGATGCGCGAAGTGAGGCCTGGCCCCTGGGGCCCTGGGCCTCAGGGGGCTCATGGGCTCTGTGCGTGGGACCTGCGCCCTGGGGGGCCCCGGGGCCTGGGATCTGGGGCCTGGGGCCTGGGCCCTGGGGCTTGCGGCCCGGGGGCTTGCGGCCTGGTGCCTCGGCCTTGGGCCCTGGGGCTTCGGCGGGCTTTGGGCCCATGGTCGGAACACACGCCTCGCAGGCGAGGCCAGGAGGGCGTGTGCATCGATCCTGGGCCCAGGAAGGGGTCGGGCAGGATCGATGAGCTGGTCAGCTGACGTCCCACGACAGGGAGATGCAGACTGGCCGTCCGAAAGGCGATCTTGGCACCAACGGACCAGGGTGGCCCCCTCCCCAGAGGATCCGCATCTCTCCACGACCCAGCGCCGCCTTGCTCGCGTGCCTGCGCGCGTACACCCGTGGGCCAGCGTCTAGACCCGACCCCAGCCATGGCGACGAAGAGACTCTCCCAAAACCCGAGTGGCCAGAGAGGATGAGCAGGACGAGCGATACCATGTATGTCACGGCGCGTGCGTATGCTGTGCCCCTCTGGCCGAGCAGGCTGTTGTACTCGTCTGCCCGCGCAACAACTATGTCGCGACGGCCTGCCTTTCGTGGAGCGGGCGGGTTACGTAGGGCGCGCCCCTCTGGCCGCACAGGCTGTCGTACGCGTCCGCCCGCGCGCCAAGGATATCACGACGACCTGTCTTCCTTGGAGCGGGTCCCCTGCTGGCCCCCTCCGGTCGGCCAGGAGGACGCGGCGCAGGATCGGGGAGCACGAGCGAGAGCGGAAGAGGGAGGATATCAGGTGTCAGCGCATAAGCGGCACGAGGGGGGGCGGGGGGCGGAGCACCAGGATGCGGATACGCACGCATCGAGGAAGAGACAGATGAGGAGGAAGACGACAAGGAGGAGGAGGAGGAGGAGGAGGAGGAGAAGGAGGCGGAGGAGGAGACAAAGGGGAAAGAGGAGAGGGACGAGGAGGCGGCATTCGCTCAAGTGCAGGGGCGTCCTGATATCGGGCCACACAGGTGGCCCACTCGAGTGCCATGCCTGGTCTCTCGCAATCTTCCTCGCCGCTCTCTCTGTCGCCCGCGCCGATGCCTCGGAATGGTCCTCTTGCTCTGGGGAAGGCTCCGCTCGCTGCTGCCTCTAGTTTTAAGGCAGGACGGATGCTCTCCCAGCGAGGCTCCAACAGCCGCACGCCATCTGAGCAGGCAGTGCGGCCGTGGACTGGCCAGGGGGCGACCCCCGGCAGGAACGAATCGAGAAAGGAACGCAACAGAAAAGCGATGCTGCTATAGAAAGATGGACAGGAGGATGGCGATTTTGAACATGAAGAAGACGGGCCCTGAGAGAAACGAGTCCTGGACCCCGGGGGCTCCCCGCACGAACAGCTGCTCAGCCCGGGGCGTTGTCTGACGACCCCTGGGGCCCGCGAGCGAACACCAGAGCTCGAACTCTGCAAACAAACCTGCCCAAAACAAGTTTTCCTCTGTGGCGGAGAGAGAGGAACGCGGGGCCCGCGGCCACTCGCGGGCTGTCCGCCATCGCCATATAGGCCTCGTAGGGCCCATAGGGTTCTTAGGGACCCGTTGTCCCCGAGGGCCCAGCCCTTCTGTGGCGAGGGGGGAGGGGCGACGCCCGCGGCCACTGGCGGGCTGCCCGCCGTCGCCCCCCTCTGCGAAGCACCGCCCTCGTCCCGATGGCCCTGGCGAGCGGGAGCGGGTCTCCGCGCCGCCGCCCCCCCCCCATCGCGAAGCTGAGGGGCGTGCGAAGAGCCCACCCATCTGCTCGACGGAGACTGGCGTGGTGTCGGTGGCCTGGCGGGCGGCACCCCAGGAAAAACTGTTCGTTCGAGATTCGAGGCCGTCGGGCTTGTCGCAGATCTTTCCCAAGAAAGGTGCGCCAGCCTCGGGGTGTCGTCCCTCAGCTGCGCCTCGCCGAAGGCGTCCCAGGGGTGCCCCGCCTGAGTTTTGGACAGAAGGCAAGAGCTCCACCGCGCAGGAAAAAAAAACACGACACACCGTTTCTCGTCATTTTCGGCCCGGGGGGCCCTTGCCGAGCCCCGGGCTGGACCCGTCAAGAAACGAGGGGTACTAGTATGTTCCTCCTGCCCCTCATCATTGTCGTACTCTCCCCCCTCCCCCATTTCCTCCTCCCCTTGCTGTCGCTAGTGCTGTTCCCCCTTCATTTTTCCTTTTCCGACAGCTTTACACACGTCCACGATCGGACTGCGCGAACGGCCGGGCCGCCCGGCGCGGGCTCTTCAGGGACTACAGTCAGTGCTCGCATGCTGCCCTTCCCCGCGGCCCCGGAACCTGTCGGCTAGCGGCCGACGCCAGAGCGGGAGCGCCCCGCCGAAGGCCCCGGGGAAGGGGTCGCCCGGTTGCGCCCCCAGCACGGAGCTAGCTGGTGGAGCGCCGCGCGGGCGGTGGTCCCCGGAAACTCCGCTTTGGTGAGCTGGATGCTGCATGGGAGCGTTTTTTTAACTTTGCTGCGCTTTCTCACCCCGGGGGCGAGATGTTGCGCAGTGGGATAAGCAGGGTGCCTACTGCAATGGTGCTGTTGCGGGGCGCGATGCACGGCGCCCGGGGCAGCGCCATGGCCAACCTGACCCGCATGGCAAGGCGGCGCCGGCGACGGCGACGTAACGGCGACGGCAACGGCGACGACGAACGCCACAAGACGACGACGACAACGACGACGGCGGCGGCAATGACGCCGACGCCGACGCCGACGCCGACGCCGACGCCGACGCCGACGCCGACGCCGACGCCGACGCCGACGCCGACGCCGACGCCGACGCCGACGCCGACGCCGACGCCGACGCCGACGCCGACGCCGACGCCGACGCCGACGCCGACGCCGACGACGACGACGACGACGACGACGACGACGACGACGACGACGACGACGACGACGACGACGACGACGACGACGACGACGACGACGACGACGGGGGGGGAGGCTACCCCCAGGAAGCCTTGGTGGACTTACGCCGCATAGACAAGACGCCGCGCCAAGGGGGGGACTCACGCCGTAGAGCAGAGGCCACGCCCGCGAATTGGGGGAAAAAGGGAGCGGGCGTAGGAGAGGGGGAGGGGCCGAAGGACAGGAGGACGGAAGGCCGGGGGAAAGGCAATGATGGAAAGACACGAGGGGAGGCGGGGTCTCCAACGCGGCCGCGCGCCGAACCGCGGCGCGGGTCTCAGAGGCCATTCGGGGGAGGAAAAAGCTCAATGCGGACGAGCAGCGCAGGAAGGAGAGGATCGAGACCGAACCCGAAAAAGAAGATCGAACGCCTGGAGTTAAATGAGGAAAGGAGGTGGGCAGGCGGATGGGGGGACAAGCCGGTGAGGAGAAGGGCGGCCCCCCTAGTCGCCGTCCTGGCTGGTCTGGCTGCGGCCTGTGGGGTGAAGGGCGCGAAGATGCCCAGCTGGCCCCATGCGCCCCAGCATGCGCCAGCGTCCCGACCAGTGGCCAAGTGCGCCGGCGGCGTAGGGTGAAGGTCTGGCTCGGATCTCCAGCCCGTCCCACTGGCCGGGTCGCACCTGCTCCTGGCGCCCGCCCCCGCCCGCTGTCTTGGTCTGGCTGCGGCCCAAGGGGTGGAGGGCGACGAAGACACGTGGCCCCCCCTGCCAAGTCCCAACTTTACCGGCGGCCCGGCCAATGGCCAGACGCACCGGCGGCGGGGGCCACAGGGTTCGCCCCGCGCTCTGGCCCGTCCCTCGGTCTGGGCTCTGCCGTCTCGGCCGCATCCCGCCAGGGTGGCGGCGGCGTCCTGCCTGGCCACCATTGCGTGAAGGGGGGAAGGAACGGAGTTCCGCCGCGAAGGAATGAAGCGAGGCGACGAGACGGCGCGCATCCCTTGGCCGGGTAACCCCTTGACTCTTCCTCCATCCCGATCCTCCCCGCCCCCCTCAACCCAGAAGGGCCCTTCCTTTCCATGTCTGATTTCCCTGCCGATGCCGCTGCTGGTGCCCACGTGCACACACGTATGATATCGATGGGCTGTACGGAGCGAGCTACGCTTCACCTCCGGAGACGAGCGCGTGGCAGCTGGAGCCAGTCCTGATTGTTGCACGCGCAATTGCGCCAAGCCGATTGACTACCTCGACTAAGCGCAAGACCGAGTAGTATGCTTCTTCTTATTAATCGCACATGTCCTAATATCCGTATCATTAGCAAACTTTCAAATACTATTCCTTCTCTTACTTCTCTTACTACTCTGACGACTACGCCTACGATTACGACTACGACTACGACTACGACAACTACGACTACAACAACAACAACACCAACAACAACAACACCAACAACAACAACAACCACTACTACTACTACTACTACTACTACTACTACTACTACTACTACTACTACTACTACTACTACTACTACTACTACTACTACTACTACTACTACTACTACTACTACTACTACTACTACTACTACTACTACTACTACTACTACTACTACTACTACGACTACTACTACTACTACTACTACTACTACTACTACTACTACTACTACTACTACTACTACTACTACTACTACTACTACTACTACTACTACGACTACGACTACGACTACGACTACGACTACGACTACGACTACGACTACGACGACTACGACGACTACGACGACTACTACTACTACTACTACTACTACTACTACTACTACTGCTACTCTGATCATTATTGTGAACAGTATTGGCATCACTAATATTTCTGTTCTTACTCATCTTAGTAGTGCGAGTAATGAATCGTGTCTTCTTCTTCTTCCCGAGGCCGCCGACGTCGGGAGGGTATCACAGCGTGCGCACCTGCAGGTCTAGAACAGCTTTCCCATGACAAGCCTTCCATCCTGAGTCGATGTTCGACGGCACCTGGACCCGGCGAGGGCCCCGAAAACTGACAACGACTTGCCGTTGCGATTTTTGTCACGACGCGATGAAGGTCTGGCTTTGGGGCCAGAACTCGGGCCTCTGGCGGCCGTTCATGTTCTGGTCTTAGCGCCAGGCAGTTCGCGGATAGCCTGTACCGGATGCTTGACACACCTGGTACTGGGAGCGGGCCCCAAGTTATGGCCCGCAGCTTCAGTTTCACTCTGTAGCACGGGCCTGTCGCCATTGAGCACATGCTGTGACACGGCCAGTCCGGATGCTGTGACACGGCCAGTCCGGAACACTTCAAGCACCTAGTGTTTCGCTTAGCAGAAATCAACACATCTGGCGGCCGCTCGGGAGGATCCGGGCACCCCCTGGCACGCCCTCGGCGAGGCGCAGCTGCTGGAGAGCAACCCAAGGACGGAAATTGCATGACAATCTGCGATCATCGAGCCTCCCCTCCTCGCGAGCACAGGTGTGGAGCCTAGCAGGGCCAGGGCGGCGGCGGCGGCTCCGAGCGGGGGGGTGCGGGGCGGGAGGCGTGGCCGTCGAGGCGGTCGCGGGGCACGAATCGCCCCAGCCGAAGCTCTGTCGCTGCAGCTCCTTCCAGACCTGGAGGGCGCCGCCTCCCCCACCCCCCCTCCCTTAGGGACGCTCTCTGGCGGCCTCCTGCCCCTTCCCCTCCTCCTCCTCCTCCTCCTTCTCCTCCCCCTCCCTCCTCCTGCTCCTCCTTCTCCTCCTGCTCCTCCTCCTCCTGCTCCTCCTCCTCCTCTCCCTCCTCCTCCTCCTTCTCCTCCTCCTCCTCCTCGTCCTCCTTGTCCTCCTCCTCCTCCTCCTCGTCCTCCTCCTCCTCCTCCTCTCCTCCCCATCTTCTTCCTGTGAAGCATGAAACAGAGAACCGGCTCAGGCGCAGTGGCCGACACATTATAAGTAGCGAGCGTAGCAGACATGGAACAGGGCAACAGAGAAACCATACAAACATATAGCAAGGCCCAAGGAGGGCACATGCTATACGCTAACCTGATAATGGAGGGAGGGTCGATGGATGCAATGAAGAACGGCAGGACATGTGCGGGCGGCAGCAGTTTGTGACGCTACTACTCGGTAATCCCTACCCAGGGCCAACATAGCCTCAGCAGCACCTCCTCCTCCTCCTCCTCCTCCTCCTCCTCCTCCTCCTCCTCATCCTCATCCTCCTCCCTCCCTCCTCATCCTCCCCCCCTTCCTCCACCTGCGCTTTCCTCTCATAGTCCTCCATACTCCTCCTCCTCCTGCTCCTGCTCCTGCCCCTCCTCCTCCTCCTCCTCCTCCTCCCTCCTCCTCCTCCTCCTCCTCCTCCTCTGTCTATTCCTCCCTCCTCCTCCTCCTCCTCCTCCTCCTCCTCCTCCTCCTCCTCCTCCTCCTCCTCCTCCTCTACTACCTGCCGCGTGAACCACCAACACCACCTCCTCCTCCTCCTCCTCATCATCATCATCATCAGCATCATCATCTTCCTCTTGTCGCTCTCGAAGATCGAGGCCGCCCAATCCTCCACCTCCTCCTCCTCATCCCCTCCAAATCTGCTCCCTCCGCTTAAACTCGGTTCTCCCCGTACTTCTATTCCATGAATATCGCCCGCCGCTTTTGAACCTCATCGGCCTTCACGAAGCGCACCCTGGGGCAGGCCTCTCCCTGGAGGCCACCGCCAGCTCCTCCTTCTGCCCAAGGCAACGCCTGGGATGCCTTCGTGGGAACTGCCAAGGACTGCTAAACTTGATTAGCGGGCTCCTGAGCAAGATTAGACTAAAGTTATCACGACTGAAATTGAGGGATAGAAAAGAACGCCCCAACCCTGGGTTACGAGTGCGTGGTCTGTAAACGTCCTGAGAGCTGCCTAATGCCAGAGAGCCGCCAGGACGCCGCGCGACACGTGCGGCACGCAGGGCTTAACTACCCTGTCACTCCACAGGAGGTTAAGCGCACAGCGCAACGTAAACCAGGGTGGGGCATGTATTACGTCCTTGACGTAAGCCAGATTGCGCTGGGCATTGGGCTGGATTGGACTGGACTAGGCGGCCGGATTAGCCTGGACGAGACCCAACGGAATACAGCACCGATGCTGAATCTGACCTCTCAGGAATTGCAGCCCAAATTACTGAGAGACGTGTGTCCCTCCATCGCTGCGGTGAGGCAACATCCAGTGCAGCGGGACACGTTCTGAGCTAATGGGCAACATTGTGGGACGTAGCGTGCGAATCTGGAAAGACCTGGGGCAGCCCACAGTTTACCCATGCACGCAATGGCGCCAAGCTGGCCTGCTGAAGTCTGGATCGCCAACAAAGTCCGGCTCGTTGAGACACGATTTGCACGATGGGAAACGTCGCCATTCCCATCTATCCCTGTCACGACGCTCAAGCGGGGCCTCACGCTTGAAACCGACCATTTCCAACGGACCCCTGTGGCAGTCTCCAAAAGAACTTGACGCATCTCAAGAGCCCTGCGCTGGTCCTCTCTCCTCCTCCCTCGCGCGCGTGTGTGCTTCCCGCCCCCGGCGCGTTTCCAGCAGCAGCCCGCTTGACGCTGTGGCCCGCCTGCCGCAGGTGAGCACAGCGTAGAGCAGGCTCGGGGGCGGGCGGGGCGAGACCTGTGGCCCGGGGGGCCCCAGGAGAGGAGCTCGCGACAGCGCTAGGCCAAGGACGAGGCCGCGTCGGGCAACCCCGAGTGGCACATCCGAGGGAATTCATTCATCGCGCGACTATTGTAACATCCAGGGCTTGCCAGAAAAAGAGTGGAGGCAACGACCGCGATGCGCCCATCAGGCCCGGGCCAGTGCCCCCTCCCCGCAGGCCCGCGACAAGACAAACCCTGGACAGCCGCCCCTTGCCCTCTCCCCCTCCCCTCCTCTTGGCCCCCGGCTCCTCCCTGCTCTTCGCTCCACTGCCCTCGCGAGTCCCTCGTCGTTGCTCCCTCGTTCGCCCCCACCGTGGTGGTCTCGAGCTTGATGATGGCCTGGCTCAAGTTGGCAGCGACCGCGCGCTTATCTGCGCGGCAAGCGGGTCCCGCTCCTCTCTCTCTCTCTGTCGCTCTGTCTCTCTGCCTGTCTGTGTGTGTGTATGTGTCTCTCTCTCACTCTCTTTGTCTGTCTCTCTCGTTCTCTCTCTCTCTCTCGCTCTCTCTCTCCCCCCCTCTTGTTTTGTTATATCTCTCGATACATACATAACTGGTTGTTTGTCTCCCTCACTTTCTCTCTATTCCCCCTCGTCCTCCTCCGACTGTTGTCCCCCTTCCTGTGAAAAAGAAGACGGGAAAAGGAGTCGGAGAAAGAACGAGGCGGACCCGAAGAACTGCGCCGCTGCCCACCTCCGAACAGCGCATTGCCAAATCTACGGAGGGTGATGGGGCGATAAAGACACGCAATTCAAGGTACAAGTCCACGTGCCGAGTACGGGTATTGGCACGGCCAAAAACAGAAGCACCATACTGTGGGTCAAGAACATGAGCCCCTCCACCGAGATCCTAAAACCCCATGTGGACACCCGGAAAAAGCCTAGGCCACTCCAGGGCGGGTCCTAAAGCTAGGGTTTCCATGAGCCCTCGTGCCAAGTGTATTTGGGTCTGGGTATTGGAACATTGAATACCAGATTCTGGACCTTCTGGATACAGCCAGATGTATGGATTAAGTTCACAATGCGCATCCAGGGTATAGCCGGATGTATTGATTAAGTCTGGAACGCATCGTGCATGTACGCCGCATTGTGCAAAGCATTGGCGCCTGGCAACGGTCCAGGAGGGATACTGGCTGCGCAAATCACACGCACCCGTCAGCTTCGGCTACTTGATTCAACCACTGGTCAGCGGACGTCCACCTGCTCGCCTCTTCAATTTGGTTCACGCTGTCGACAAGCTGGGCGTAACCAAGGTCTCGTCACGAGCAGACAACTTTATCAGCGGCGGAGCTGGCATGCCGATGAAGCCGCCGTCATGTTTCTATCAGGCGTCCTGGGTAGCACCTACTGGCCTCCGATGGCCTTCGTGACGTCGACCAGCTGCCTTGTGGCGGCGCCAGCGGCGAGTTCATAAATCATTAGCGGACGGTCGAGGACCCCTTTGCGCCAGCAGCAACGCATCGTTCGTGGCGATGCTGACGTCGAGCTCTGTGCCGAATGCTTGCTCGGCCACGTTCTGGCGAAGAGGGGCCGAGCCACTCACACTCACAGGCGGGATCGGGACTTGTGGCCGCGGCCGCAGCCTCTGCAGCAACCGCCAGCCTGACTGCCAGAAACCGCGAATATGCCCGAAGCTTTGGCGCATCTCCACAGGCCAGATCCACACTGGACCCCGCGTGCCAATTCCAGCATTTTTGAGGCTGAGGAGTACGGACTGCTATAGCCCGCTGTTGCCCCTACGCCTGGGGAAGCGGCACTATTTGGAGGCACCTTGTCAAACATAGCCTGGGAATACGCAAATGTTGAATACAGAAAAGATCCGGCAGACGCCTGAATTGACGATACACCAATATCACGTCTCATGGCGCACATGTCTCCTTTGACGGTGCACCCGTAAACTAGCACAGGGCGTATCCCGTGAGCATTGAGCAGTCGGCAGCTCGTTGCGCATATCCAGCGACGCACATAGGAACCCACGGCGCAGTTCTCGAGGCTTGAGCCAAGGAGACGGGGAGAGAGGACAGCAGCAGCGGCAGGAAATATTAGTGGAAGAGGTCCTACGAGAAAGGGGAGGAGCAGGATATCTGCAGGGTGTAGGTACTGGAGGCACCCTGAGACCCAAGAAGTGTGAAGACGTCCAAAGACCTTTGTGAGAAGAAGGAGGATACAGGAGGAGGTGGAGGAGGAGGAGGAGGATGGGGAGGAGGAGGAGGAGGAGGAGGAGGAGGAGGAGGAAGATGGGGGGGAGGAGGAGGAGGAACAGGGGGGGCACACGGCCATCGCCGGGGCCGCGCGAAAGGCGCCAGGGGGACTTGTATTGGTGAACCCCACGTCCCGAGCTCGACCCCCAGCCTCCCCCCAGGTGTTTTTTGTTGCCAGCTCGTGAAAGCCGAAAGGGGCGAAATGTCAGGGTGAAGTCGGGCCGCGGGCGTTGGCCGCTATTGGTGAGCCAAGCAGCGAGTTGCCAGCGGCGCCGAGGCGCATGCGCTCTCAGAGCGCGCGCCGGATGGGCCCGCCCGCCCCGAGCTCAGGATCGCAACCTGTCTCAACGGTGGGGGGTGCTGCTCAAACCAGCTGAAGACCCTCAGTTCAGTGCAGGCACCCCTCAGCGTATGGTGCGAAGGCCAATGCGAAGATTGCGCAAATACTCATGATTCATGCCAAGGGTGGCCGACAAAGTCTTTTCGACCCATCGGGCATTCCGTGAGTGAGGGGAGGTTGGGTCGGTGCGTTGGCTGGGCATCAGAAACTGGTAAGTTGGCGCTCCAGGGAAAGAATGAGCAGGCAGACGTGAGGGTGAATGGGGCGGACGAGCAGAAACGAGAGGCGGGAGAAGTGAACTAGGACGAAGATGCGCAGCAACAGCAGCAGAAGTCGGAGACGACGGAGGCAGAAGGGAGATGCGGAGGCAGAGGGGGAGAAATCTGGAGCCCATCCAGCGTGACACCAGTCCCCCTGGACCTCCGCCGACATTGGCATTTGTTCCATGTTCGGGGCCCCTGGGGCTCCACGTAAGCTGTATTCACGACGGTCGAGGCTCAAAGAGTCTGACGTCTTTGGCTTTTCTGAGTGGCTCCACAGGTCTCCAGGGGAACCTCGGGGGGTCAGTCAGATATGCTCCCTTTCTGGGGCCCTTCCTGGAGCCACTCGCTCCACTCATGAAGGCGACCCGAGCCACCCACACAACAACCACATCACATTAGAGCCTGTGGCCCAGCGACCGTCGTCAGCTGCATGTGCCCGAAGAGAGGCCCCTGGCAACTTGCGAAAGATGCACCCGCCGAGGGCCGTGAAACCACAAACGTGCTTAATAGACATCCACAACTTTTCCATAAACAACTGACGCTCACGAAATTGCCTGGGACATGGCTCACATCGCGCAATCGCTCAATTCCATTAACGCAGAAACGTGTTTATAACACACGCAAGAACTGTGTATTAAAAACGAAGACGGTTTGATAAAACGGTTTGCGAAACTGGAAACGTCGCGATTCACAATCGTCGCCGTGGGGGCGTGCCGACGAAGTCCGCAAGCGTTCCAGGAAAAATGTAAAAAATCAGCCTGGTGGGTGCGGGGGTGGGTTTTCTCTCTCGGACTCATGCGTCGATGCTGCGTCGAACGTCCGATCTTGAGTCGAACTTGAGTCAAACTAGAATCAAACATATCCAATAGGTGGGCCCGAAGAGGGCCCCCCAAACGAGCATCTTACAGACAGGATCCGAAGCGACAGCAGGCTTCCCAGACGAATTGGCTTGCAAAGCGTGGACCCCGCCCGCGGAAGCCTATACGTCACTTCAGCCGGGACCAGCCTTGCGTCCCGCGAGCTGCTGGCATTTGACAGCCCTGGGGCCCGGTAAAAGCCCCCCACAATAACCCGAAAACTGCGGAAACCCTTCTGGCGTGGCGCGACCTGTTCAAGGCGCGAGGAGGTCAGGGCTCTCCTTTTGCTCCTCCTCCTCTTCCTCCTCCTCCGCCTCCTGCTGCTCCTGCCTCGTTCATCCTCGTCCTCTTCCTCCTTCTTCTCGCTCTCTCTCTCTCTCTCTCTCTCTCTCTCTCTCGCCCACGATATCTTCCTGACGTGGCCATCCACCCCCCTAGGACTGGTCGGCCCCAGGGGGGCTGATCAAACTAATGAGCCAGGCGGCCCCAGGGAGAGTCTGGGGCGGCCGGCTGGGAGGAAGCTACTGGCGAAAACGAGATAGCGTGGACGCCTCCTCTTCCTCCTCCGCCTCCTCAGACTTTGAGCGGGGCTCGTAGCGTCGTTCCTCCTCATCCTCCGCCGCCGCCTCCTCCATATCCTCCTCCTCCTCCTCCATATCCTCCTTCTCCTCCTCCTCCGTCTCCTCCGTCTCCTCCGTCTCCTCCGTCTCCGCCTCCTCCTGTATTTCCTCCTCCTCCTCCCAGCTGCGCGCCGAAAGTTGTGACGAACGAGTACCTCCGGGGCGCGAGGGCGATCGTGTGCACCTCCCCTGAGGCCATTCCTCGCAACATGTCTGCTGCTTGGTTCATCAACTGAGAAGGAGAGGCATGAAGGAAGGGACGACCGCAACATCTCTCGAGCAACCCGTGCACTCCGTGGTGATACCTGGCAGAGATTGCCGAAAGGCTTTTTTACAGAGCCATCCCAAAAGTAAAAAAGCACTGGCGACAAGAGGAGAAGGGAGGTGGAGCGTAGCTGGAGAGGAGAAGGGAGAAGGACGAGGACGAGGACGAGGGTGAGGAGGAGGACAAGGAGGAGGGGGAGGAAGACGGAGACTAACGAAATCCACTATGTCTCAAATCGCAAACTTACATACTGCCTACTGCTAGCGCCGGGAGGACAAATCCTGCCCCTCTGCGGAAATACAGATAGTACCTACTCGAGAGGGGGAAAAGAAAGAGGAGGAGCAGGTGGAGGAGGAGGAGGAAGCCTGAAAATTGTACCAATCACAAGCTACTGGAAAATTATTCCCTACCGAAGGGGAGGCCAGAGGTACTGAACGGGGAGGCTGAATGCCACGCTCCCATGCGAAGTGAACATGCCCCCCTGCCCCCCCGCCTCTCCCCAGCGCCCTCTGCACACGCGGCCGCGGCTCAGAGGTCGAAGATACCGTCCAGGTTGCCCCAGGCGGCCCGCAGTGCCGACGTTCAGTCCCCGCTGGTGTCTTAGACGTACGGATGCAGCGTTTCCAGGCCGATCGCGCAGGGCAGCACCCCTGCCAAGGCCTGCGCGCCGCCGTCGCCGATGCCGTTGCAGCTCAGCTTCAGCTTCCTCAGGCCTGCGCGCCGTTGCCGCCGTACGATGCGTGTTTGGACATGTTCGTCTTTTCGGGGCCCTCAATGTCCACAAAGCCCGTCACACACGAATCGGGATGAGAAGCTGGTCCTGGTGGATTGGCCCAGACCACCTGGGGCTCCCGCTGCGAAAAAAACGAAAACACGATGTCGGAAGCTCGGCTCTTGAGGCTTGGGCACCCCGTGCAGGACAGATAATGATAAACTGGCCGTGTGCCAGAACTTGCAGGACGCCTGCAACCACAAAACTGCCTCCAGGAGGCTCAGCCAGGCCCCCAACTCCCACGACGCCCACAAGAGTCCCCAAATAGAGCCCAAGAAGACCACGACGCCTCAACCGTGGACTCCCTGCCTCATGTAGGGGTCGGCGGAATGGCGCAAGTCTGTCGAATAAACTGGCCGTGTTCCAGAACTTGCAGGATGTCTGCAGCCGGGTGAACACCAGCGAGGGTGCCAGCGTCGATTAGACGACGCGAAGGTGTACATCCCGCAAGAGGTTGCAAAATCCTCCATCCTCCTTCTCTCATCCGTGACGTCCGCCAAACGATGGGAATGGTAGAGGGAGCAATGTGACGTCCAACGTGTCGCAGCAGGCTCTGAGCGGAGTGTTCTCAAGTCCGTTAGAGCCCACTGCCTTGAAACTCGTTAATTCTAATACCGTAGCACCCCACAGATGCGGATAAGAGTGAGGGGCGGTGGGGACGTCGGCAGTTTGCGAGTCCCTGGAGAAGCCCGCCGCAGGTGCCGCAGGTGGGTCGCGGGGTGGATCGCGGGGTGGGTCGCGGGATGGGTTGCGGGTGGGCCGAGGGTGGGACGACGACAGCAAACAACAGCAGCAGCAGCGACAACAACAATCATTGTACCCTCATGCGCGATGTTTCCACACGAAGCATGCGACCATCATCCTTATCATGGGGGACTCTTGTTCCATAGCGGGGTCCGTTATTCTCATTCCCAGATCTCCCGCCCAATGAGGTCTTGCAAACACCTCCTCCGAGGAATTTCAACAAATCCCGCCTCGAAAACACATGCCCGCGCCATGCTGCGCCGATGCGAGACCGCCAGTGGAACCCCAGCGAAGGGTAAAGCACAAGGAAGTATCGAACGACAGGATTGCCTTGGTGGGGATGGGGGCTGTCGGCGGTGAGGCAAGGACTTGGCCCTGAATAGAAAGGGAGGAGGTCTCGAGCAGGGCTGCTGTTGTTGCTGGGAGCGGCGCCAATGCTGAAGAGAGTAGGGCGCTAGTCCAGCGTAAAACAGAACGAAGTCTCGAGCGGGAACGCTGGTTTTGTTGGGAAGACAGCTTTCGGCGGCGAGGAGGAACACCGCCTTGAGGAATGTGAAAGTTGTATTAGCAAGGATGTGAGTTATAGGATGATGTTTAGAATTATCTATGTTGCTGCTCTCGCTCGCTCATGCTTGCACTCTCTTGTTCACTATTGCCGTTTTTGGCTTGGACCCGCCAGCTGTGGCGGGAGGGTGGACGCATTCTACGACCGTCCAGCTTGACATCGGACTAAGATCAGATCACACTCGATCTATTTCTTCTTGCATCAAGAGGTTGTGGGTGGAAAGATCAGGATCATTATTTACACTGGTGGCGGAGCTGAATCAGTCCACGGTACGAGGATTTCATACAGAGTGGCCGTGCAGGTATATGCTGGCGCTCACTTACATCCTCGCGGTGCTAAACCACTGCGCTCAACAGATCACGGTCATCGACAAAACGCTCAAAATCATTACCTACAACAGCTTGGACGAGGATCGTTGCATCGACCGCATCCCAGGCGAGCAGCAGATCTACAGCACCAACGTTCACGACAGCTACTACATCAATGGCAAGCTCAGTAGCATCACGGTCATCAAGATGACGTCCAGGCAGCAGCAGCAGCAGCAGTTCAATGACGGCCCCCTCTTCGTTGACAAGGAGGGCGTGGTACACTACAACGGCGACCCATCCTATGGCGAGGAGTTCGAGGAGCGTGCAATACTCGGCTACCACGCGAGCGAGGAGAAAATCAAGAAGCTCTACGCGATCAAGCTCAAGAATTCTCTAAATGGACGAGCGTGGACACTTACACGAAAGAAGGTTGAGATCAGTACGCAGGCAGTTTTGGACGAAGCAGGTAATGACCCACTTGCTGCAGTCAAACTGGTGGTAACTACAGTACGACAGGCGTGCGAGAGAATCACACCACTACAGAAGCAGCAAACGTTCGAGGAATATTTCTTCCGAGGTTTTCGGAATCGAACGGAGTCTGTGCAGGACTACATATCGAGACGAGAGACGGAGTACGAGCGGCTCAAGTCACTTTCAACGAACACAACAGTCAGCGAAGACCTACGGACATACTTCCTACTAAAGCTAGCAAACATCAGCATGCAAGAGCACAAGGCGATCCTTGGCCAATGCAACAACGAATACATCTGGGACGACGTGACGGCAGCCATGCTGATACAGCTGGACAGCACAGGCCGAGACGATCGTGGACATGGACGATACGGAGCCTACCCGGTGGACTACGACGACGAAGAAGAAGATGCTCTACTCGGAGACGAATGTGCACCGTGCGACGAGGACGTGTTCCTGAGTGATGCGGACTACGACGCACTTGCAGCGGACATCGACGAGTTCGAGGGAGTGATTGACGACGTGGACCCGGAAGAGATCAGCCAGGAGGAGTGCGACACTCTGGCGACGGAGGCTCAACGTCTTGGCTGGAAAGCTGGACGGCGAAACCACAAGCCCAACTACAAGCAGGCCCGGGAGCGGCTTGCTCAGAGCAAGTCGAATAGAGGCTGGAAAGCCAACATCAACAAGCAGGGCTCCATCAAGATGGACAGCAAAGAGGCGGAGGATAAGCTGAAACAGATCAAGGCGCGCACGAAGTGCAACGCGTGCCACAAGAAGGGTCACTGGCAGGGTGACCCCGAGTGTGAAAAGACGAGGTCACCAGCGAGTGGATCCAGTACGCTACAGCGTGGAGGACGAGGAGGCGGACGTGGAGGACGAGGCTTTCACGGACGACCTGGAGGTTTTCTACGACGAGCTGGATTCGCAATGGCGGCCGCGGTCAAGCTGCTGATGGCGGACAGCTCGATGGATATGACCGCCATTCAGATTGTCAGCGACCAGCTGGCAAGCATAGACGTGGCGATGGAGGAGATCACGAGTCTGACGAAGGTGAGAATCGACACCGAGGAGCAGATCGTGAACACCTACGCGGTATCAGCAGCAGGAGACCAGCCGAACTTCCAAGAGAGGATCGACCAGGCACACGAACCATATCCAGTACATGGAGAGTATCAAGCACAAGAATCTGACGAACCACTGAGCACTCCAGTGAGCTCAACGAGCAGACCGACACCAGGGACGTGGTCGAGGACAGAGCCCAGCAGACCAAGTACAGACTACCTGGAAGAAGACAACACAGAGACTGACGTACAGAAGATACGAGATCGTGCACAGCAGATCGCAGCATTGTGGGTAAGCTGCGAGAACATGGAACCGGCCTACAGGGACTATATGGATGTCTGTCTGGACTGGGCCTTCAATCGCTTCCAGCAGCTCATGCACATCACCATGGAGATGGCACCGAACGGTCTAAGGAATATGGCCTACGATCTATGCCAAGCAGCCCGGGACAGGACCTCGGAGCTTCGTGCCATCGTAAGGAGCACCTGCGAGCGCCTACCGATTGGAGTACGACCGACATGGTTGTGGACGCAACGCCGAGTTGGAACCAACTACGCTCCAGAGGGAGTTGGGCGGCAGCAACCTTGCGAGGAGCTGGAGGAAATTGAAGCCTACGCAGTACGAAAATGACCTATTCCAGATGGACATGTTGTACTGGACACTGCGTGCCTACGTGGATGTGGAGGTTCAATATCACTGGACGGCTACACAGAGGACGGCAGAGTCACCACGCGGATGAGAGGATCATCCATGCGCTTCCGAGGCGTGAATGATAGCGCCCCGGTCATGGCAGAAGGAGAACAAGAGGTGACGGCTGGACTTGCTGGAACTGACGTGAACCTACGCTTCCAGAGGTTGCCGAAGTCAAAGACGCCAATACTGCTGAGCATCCACCAGCTGGAGGAGCTAGACACAGTGATACACATCAAAGATCAGAAGGCGGACTTCAAGGCGATCAACAAGTACGGAGTGCCTCTCAACAAGACGGAGAAGGGACACCTGACGATCTCGCTCAAGGAGTGGCCGAAGAAGGAGACGACAAAGATCGAGCCATCAGTCACGTCCGACGAGATCGACATCTGGAATGCAGAGGTCCAGGAGATCGATAAGGGCATCCTACGGCGGAAGCAGAGGAAGCATATTGAGACGTGGGAGAAGGAAATTCAGGACAAGCTGGACCAGTGACAGCAGATCGTGGACACGCTGAAGGCGGACCCGGAGGAGAAGCGGCCCATCATTTGCGAGCTCTACGCAGGTGGCATGGCAGCCACATCAGAAGCTCAGCAGCGGCGGCATCCCGTGACGAGGCCGAGGGACATCATGATCGGGGACGACCTGCTGGACGCGAAGTCGCAGAAGACCGTCCTGAAGCAGCTGAACGAGGATGACCCCTACGTGACCATTGTGGGTTTCCCCTGCGACCCGTTCACGAACATATCCCACATGTTCCCGAAGGACACGAAGATGCGCAAGTTGGCGATCGGCATGAAGCACCTGCAGTTTGTCAACAAGATCTGGCTGAACTGCAAGCGCTGAGGAGCTCATATGCTACTGGAGGACCCATTGACGTCAAGAGCCTGGCAGCTTATGCCATGGCTGAGCTCAGAGTTCGTAAGCGCGATGATGCACCAGTGTGCCGAGGGCAGCAATCTGGTGGACTTCATGGGCGATCCGGTCAAGAAGCCGACGAGGTTCCTGACGACGGCCATCATGCTCGGCAAGAAGCTCAACAGCATCAGGTGTGACGAGCAGCACGTACACACGAGCGTGATCAACAGGCCGAAGGGAACAGCCTCGAGCCTTGGGAACTGGACCAAGGAGCTGGCCAAGACGATCTTGGACGGCATCGAGGATCAGCGAGACCTCGAGAAGCAGCATGGTGGCTACGCCCGGTACGCCAACAACTTCGACGACATCGACTGTGACGAGTTCGAGGCCAACCCTGCGGAGACGGAAGCGCCGATGCACGCTAGCGCGGCGGCGATCTTCAGCAAGCGTGGCGAGAACATCGAGATGGCGGAATGGACGGCGGTGCCACCACTCATGCGAGCAGCTATCAAGAAGATACACGAGAGCCATTCACATGGACCCTACAAGGAGTCACTGGTACGGTATCTACAGCATGGTGGAGCTAGCCGACGAGCGGTACAAGCAGCACGTCTCTTCAGATGCACGACGTGTGAAGAGCAGGCTCGGACGGCAGCGAGACCTACGGCAGCTCAGCCTAAGGTTAAGGACTTTAACGAAGCCATCAGCATGGACTTCATGATCATACCCGACCTGGACAAGAACATGCACGTGGTGCTTGTTATCGTGGACGTGGCCTCGGACTTCACCGTGGCGATCTACACGTGTCCCGGATCGAGACCTACGGCAGAGTTAGCAAAGAAGGCTCTCGAACTCGGATGGCTTACCTGGGCCGGGCCACCACACGTCGTGGAGCAGGACCAGGACTCTACCTTTATGGGCGAGTTTGAGACGCTGTGCAACGACCTGGGCATTGTGATCAACAACGCGGCTCCAGAGGCTCACTGGCAAATGGGCAAAGTCGAGAGGAAGATGCGATACCTGAAGGAGATGGCGACAAGTGTCTTCAACGCTGGGGAAGTTCGTGGTCAAGATTCGGTTGCAGCAGCAGTGCGTGGTATGGCCAACGCGTGCAATCAACTTGTCAGCACGGCAGGCTTCTCACCACAGCAATGGGTACTTGGAGCTGGACACCGACTGCCTGCAAGTTTGGCGAATCCCGACAACGACCCAGCAGTGGTTTCACGAATGGCAGAGAACACGTCATTCTGGAATCGACTACACCTCCAACAGATCTGTTCGGAATCCTTTTTCAAGGCAGCAAACTCATCAGCATTGAGACGGACAGTTCTGGCGAGGACGAGACCCCAGCCAGGGCCATTTCATCAAGGTGATTTATTGATGTTTTTGGCGATCTGATAACCTAAAGCGCAACCTGCATGCACGATGGCATTGACCTGCCCGGTGCTTGGGCAAGGATGAGCACGGTTACTGGCTGATCCATAACAGGATCCCGATCCTAAGTTCACCCAGTCTCCTTCGAAGGGCGACTGAGCACGAGGTGACCAACATGCAGTTTACCGACCTGTTTTCAGATGGCGGACCTGCACGTGGACGAGCTGGTCAGCGGGGTTTTCTGGATCTTCGAGGTCAACAGTATAACCCAGCACGAGATGATCAACAGCCAGACCAGCAGCCAGATCAACGGCCAGATCAGCAGCCAGATCAACATCAAGATCACTGAGATCCAGGACATCAGCAGAATCCTGGACAGGGCGATGTTCCACCTCAGCCAGCAGGTGGACAAGGGGATGCACCCTCGAGTGCACCGACGACGGCACCAGCAACACCTGCTCAGGGCAACGTGGAGCTGACGAAGCCAGCGGACAGCAGGAAGCGACGATCGGAAGTGGTACACGATAACGACGTGATGCCAATGCGCCAGAGGCTGGACGACGAGTACGAAACAGTACCAGCTGATCAAGATCAAGCGGAAGAAGACCTACGACCACGACTTGTTCGAGCGCACCAAGCTTGGGACACCATCTTGGGAGCGGTGGCGGCCAGCAGCCAGGGCAAGACCGACCTGAGGCAGCTGGACAATGTCAGGAACGCCCCTTTTCTACCTGACCCGACACCTGGGCACAAGATTGAGAGGCGGCGGCTTTTCAACTTGGACACGCGCGACCTGGTTCAAGATATCTCGAGAGTGGACTGGATAGTCAATCCTCAGATCATCGACGATGTGGTACCACAAGACCCCATCACGATCATCGAGGAGATCACTCTGGGAAAGGAAGAGGAAGCTGGAGATGGACCAGGAGGTGGCCAACAGCCTGCAGCAGCCCCGCAGGAGCCTACCAACACGGACGAGACCATGGAGGAACCTAAGGAGGTGAGGCGCGGAGGCAAGAAGCACACCAAGAAGGACCTGAAGCTCAAGCAGACCAAGCGGGGCGACGCTCAGGACGATCGAGCTCAGCTTCGAGTACCTGCCAAGATCCAAAGGCACATAGAGGAACGCCAGAAGGCGGAGGAAACGGCAGCAGTACCAGCAGAGGTACCGCAGGACCAGCCGGCTACATCATCGTCAAGTACGCGACAGCCTGCACAGGGCAAGCGCCAGGAACACCCAGTCACGATCAAGGAGTTCTTGCTGGAAGATGTGCCGATCAGCATCAAACGCGCCCGGGCACAAACTGGGCCAGTCAGGCAGCTGGCAGATACACCGCTGCTCGTCGAGGCGTTCGTGGCCGAGCGGATGTGCAGCCAACCGACGAGAGCCAACAAGCATCAGGAGATCAACTTGAAGACGCTGGGCGACGACAAGCTCAAGTGGAAGAAGATGCATCAGGCGGTGGAGAAGGAATGGAACACGCGGTGCAAATACGATGCAGCAGCCCACATATCAGGAGCAACAGTCGACAAGGTCGACCCGTACAAGATCCTGAGCTCCAAGGTGGTCTGGACCGAGGGGCTTCGAGAGGCTTCCGAGGGGCCCGCCAGCATATCCAAACAGGCATCCAAAGGGCCCCTGACATACAACCACGCACGATGGCGGAATTGGCCGAAAGCCACTAAAGATGTCAAAATGTCTCCTTCTGCCCCTCTCTCTCTCTAACTCTCGTTCTCTTCGTGAAAGCAAAACATAACGCAATGCAAGCTGCGAGGTAGGCTGACCACGGGCAAGAAGGTTAATCAAGGAGAGAACACGAGTGGCTGAATCGATGTTGCACATGTCGGTGTATCAACGATGTCATGCGATGCGGCACAGCATCACCATATCGCCATACCTCCGTCTGCATGCTGGCTGGCTGGCAGGGCAGCCTGCTTCGCGTCATCCCCCTTTCCCCCGTGGGCACGATTGCCGTGGTGTCGCAATGGTTCAGGAGCCTGGGTGGCACGCGAGCCCGGGGACAAAAGAGAGCCTGCAACATGCCATGCGGAAAGTAGTACAGCGTTGCCGCTATGCTTGGGGCCATGACGACAAGCATTCCAACTCCAGCACCGCACGAACTTGAGCGGACCTGCAATTACCACGCAACTAAACGTAGCTTTCGTGCGATACACCTGCCCTGCCAGACCATCGCCTCCTTCCCAAAGGCCTGCGTGGCTCCGATTTCGCCAAGTGGCTATTACTCGGACATTCAGCGGTCAATGGCATACCAACCATGTGGGGAGCAATTATCAAGCCATGAAACACCTCGAATGAAATTCGCTGGAATTGTTGTACGCAGCGGGGGTGTCACTTAAGCACCGTTAGCCCCGCCTGACCTTGGCACTCCATTGGGTGCATCCCACAACCCGCAGCAAAACCTGAAACGCATCAGCTTCCTGCTTCCGAGCTGAGATTTAGAAGGGCACAAGTGAGAAAACGCATTACAAGGTGTTTAAAACACACTGGTGCGAAATACTGGCAGTCTGTGTGAGCGCATAGGTAATGACTGGAAGCCAATCGTGTCTAAGCCGATGTTACCTGAACCTAGCCAGAGGCGGGTTACTCAACCAGAGTTCAAAAGGAGTGAGAGGCGACTGGACGCCAACTGAAAGGTCTTCGAAACTAACGCCTGGATGCGATGGGAGCTAACGAACACTGGAGTGAAGATGCCTGACAGCTGGCAAGTGGCGGCGCACGCTGAACGTGCAAAACGCTCCTGACGCGAGCTGGCACTATTCGAAAGTCTGTTCCGTTAACAGGATGACGCTGCAAATGCACGTACCCATTATGTATAAGGCCATCCCTTCTGAGCACATCCCACCGCCCGACGCGACCAAGACAACTCTACAACACAACACGAATAATGGATCGACCCCCGTAACCCCTGGCCCACTGCATCACGTATCCAGCATGCCGCGAATGTGTGCGAGTAGCAACTTCCAGTCACCACAATCAAACACCCAATAGGAAGACCCCATCGACAGATTACTTGGTCGCTGATCGACTGATTGACCCCTCCTCCATTTTCAACTCCCCCACCCCCTTCCCCTTCAAGCCGTCCTTCCGCACTCTTGCTTGCCTCCCCCAAACCTGAGTCCCTCCTGGTACAACAGTTTGCTGACACACCGCTGCATCAACACTGATGGAAATTCCAAAGCACATAAACACAAACTTTCAATTCAGAATGCGCCGCCCATGTTTTCGGACGTGCTTAACATTCTACTCCAGTGCGTGCGAATAGCCTGAACAAACCAAGCTGCCTGCGCGCATTCGTCTGTTCGACCGCTCTCGCCAACATGAATAAGTAGTGGGGTTGGTCCAGTCCGTGTCCACTGCAGATTGGTGCTACGACTCGCCTTCGTCCATGACAGCGACTTGCTAACAACGTCAGCGGCATGGTGCTATGACTAGCTTTCGTCCATGACTAGCCTGCACGTGTGATTTGCTAACACCGTCAATGGCATGGTTCACTCACGTCTGTGTCAATAGAGCCCGCAACGTCTGCGGCAAGCCTCCACCCTTGAGAAACACTGCGGAACTGCGAACGGTCAAACAAAAAATTGAGCCCAGGTCTTTCAAACTCATCGTTGTCGTTTACAACTGCTCCCGAAGGCCACCATGCTGTGCTGAAAATGGATCGGCGAAAAATGTCCTCCCTCTGTAGGCGCACCGTCGCCGTGGTTCTGCGGCAGATTCTAGGATCGGCGTCCTCCGAGCCTTGGACGCTTACTGGTCAGCCGTTCTAGCGCGTCCACAATCGCGAGCGGGTGTCAGCACGCGCTACGGTCGTGAACAATTGTTTCGCCAGCCGCGGCGGTGGCCCCTGTGCCCTGCAAGCGGAAAGCGTGTCGCTCCGCTTCGCGGAGCACGAGCACGGGAAGGACGTTGACGCTTGACAGTTGGGAACTGCTTAGCGTGTCGCGCCGAAGCGTGGTCGGCCAAAACTGGTGGCGCGACACGCTAATCCAAAAATCTCGACCAGAGCAGATTGGTTCGAAAGAGTCGCGGGAACAAACGGGACTACCACACTCGGCTTGTGTTTTGCAAACGTATTTCCCTCCGATTCCTCCAACCAACCAATCAAACGTTGACCAATGCACCTTCCCATTCGCGCCGGTGCCCACATTCAACATCAATAATTAGTTAATCCCTTCGAAGCCGCTTTTCCGTAAACACCGTGTGTAGCCATCACAGCCACCCACGTACACGATACATCCAGGCTGCATATAAGAAAATGGCTCGACCAATAAGAGTCAGTGGCTGTCCCCCCCCCCCCGCACGCCTTTCTGACAACGGTTTCGATAATGCCGACGGGGTGAGCTTCGAAAATCCTCGCAAGGCGAATCATGCAAATGGTGGGCTCCCCTGGGGATCCGCTTAAAACACACCAATGGTAGAAGGCTGTGCTCCCACCGCTGTGTATTCACAATCCAGGGATCAGGGATATCCTCTGCGAGATTCAAACATGCTGATCCATGCGCCGTGCTCCCAGCCAGGCCCCCGACAAATTACTCCTTGAGCTGTGACCCACAAAGCCGTGCCCCTTACGCATTCGTAGGTTGCTCAAGAAACGTGCCGTTGCCTGCGCCAGGCGATACGCCGGCCCCTCCCCCTCTGTACCACCCTCCCTTACCCCTCTCCCTCCCCGTCCAAGCATGATTGATGACTGGTTGATCGCGGCGGACGAACGACGGGTCGATGGCAAAGAAGGAGGGGGGCAGCGAATCAGCTGCATGCAGCTGGTGTTTCCGACGCCATCCCGGCGCTGGAAGCGACAGTGTATACAGGAAAGCGCCCAGCGGCGGGGCCGAATCCAGCTGCATGCAGCAGAAGCTGTACCCCACACCGGACCCAGGTTGACTAGGCAGCTGATCGGTGCAGCTGCCCAAGTGCAGAAGGGGGAGCCAAGGGAGGCGGACGGTGCCGAGAGCGAGGATGGGGGGGTGACAGCGGGAGTAGGACGCATGGAGCACTATGAAGCTGCAAGGAGAACGAAGACGACGTGGCGGAGACAGGTGGAGCGCGAGGCTAGGAGCCACTCGTTCAGGGACCCCATGTCGTCGATCCAGACGGTCGCCTGGCGGCAGCAGTCGTGCAGCGCGGCCACTGCAGCTCCGCAGCGCGTCGGCGTCGGCGTCGGAGTCGTCGCCGTCGTCGTCGACGTCGCCTTAGCCGCTTTTCGAGACAGTGGTCATCGTCGTTGCCCGCCGTCGTGCTCGTCGTGATTCGTTTGATCCCTTTGAGGCTGGCCGCGGGGTGGCAGATCTTTGGGGCAGAAATTTACTGGACTGTCTCTGGAGGCTCCGGGCCTCGAGCAGGATTTCCGACGCTGGGCGGGCGGGGGAGTAGCTAGAGGCCTGCCAGATGGGGTCAGAGCAGATGGGGTCGGAGGATCATGCCGCGTCGTCGACACATCACCGATGCACTGGCGATGCATCGGCGACGTCGGCGTGGAGACAATGAGGCTCCACACGGCGCCGCATCGCCGGTGCGTCGGCGATGCGGCGCCATCCTCCGACCCCATCTGCGTCCTCTGACCCCATCTGGGAGGCCTGGAGGGAGAGAGAGAGAGAGAGACTCGTGTGCGGTCTACGTGCGTCACCCAGCTTCGCACTTCGCGCTTCGTGCGAGGCGCGACTATCGTCGCGCCCCCGCCCCGCAGCCGTGCGCAAAAAAATCTCCAGCCCAGGCCGCGAAGCGCGATTGTACCTTCGCGCCCCCGCTGGCGGCTCGGAGTAAAGCCGCAGCTGCCCGGGGAAGTGAGGCGGCGAGCGAGGGGGGGACATGCGCGTGGGTGCTTTTCGCCCGGGTTGGCTTTCGCTCAGTTCGTGTCGCCTGGTTCGTTTCGCCCGTGTTTGCTTGAGCCCAATTGGCTTTCGCCCGGATTCGTTTTCGCCCGGGTTCGCTTTCGCCCGGGTTAGCTTTCGCCAGGGTGCGTTAGGGTCCACCCGCCCGACCCGACCCTCCCGTTAGGGTTCACGCGTGCCCACTCGAGCGTGCACTCTTTATTCGTGTCCCGCCCGCCCGACCCGACCCGCCCGTCAGGGTCCGCCCGACCCGACCCGTCCCGCCCCAGGTCCGCCCGCCCGGCCCGACCCGCCCAACCCCCAGCGAACCGACACCGGCGAGACGAAGCCCAGCGAAAGCCGACCTGGGCGAAAGCCAACCCCAGCGAAGAACGCAACCCCGGCGAAACGAATCCTGGCGGAAGCCAAACCCGGCGAAACGAAGCCTGGCGAAAGCCAACCCAGGCGAAAGCCAACCCAGGCGAAACGAAGCCCGGCGAAAGCCAACCCCGGCGAAAGCGATTCCGGCGAAACGAAGCCCGGCGAAACGAAGCCTGGCGAAAGCCAACCCTGACGAAACGCATCCGTGCCGGGAAATGAAAAGGAAAAGGCCTTCTCAGAGGGCCGTGGGACTTCTCAGAAGCCCTCGCGCTTTCTGAGAAGTTTTCTGCCGGGAAGGCCTAGACAACTTCTCAGAAGGCCAGGGGACTTCCGAGCCTTCTGAGAAGGCCCGCCCCTTCTCACTTTTCCCCTTCTGGGGCCAATCTCCTCCACGCGCGCCTCATTGGAGAAGCGGCCCCCAACCCACACGAACGCCTACACTGCTGCCCCTTATGCGCTTCCCCTGCTCCAACCTCCCTATCCCTCCTTCCTCTCAGTTCCTCCCACGACCCTCCTGTCCCCAACCCATGCCCTCGGAAGGTCGCCGTCTCGGATCTACACCACTGTGGTTGGCATCCAGGGGAAGCTCACGCACGCACCCCGAGCCAGTATGATAGCACGGCGCGCGCTGGGCTTGCTTGGGTGTAGAGCTCTGGTCTGCCACAACGAGAAAAATCAAGGGGGCGCTGAAGCGGGTTGTGGGCTGTGTGTGGCCAGGGCGGGGAGGACGCTCTATGCGACAACTCCGCGCGAGGCGCGCACTCACAACAATCAAACTTCGCGCGAGGTGCGCACGAACAAACTCGGCAGGGGTTGTTGATAGGAGGGGGGGCAGACGGGAGGAGGCGAGGTGAGGCACGCGGCTCTGCGCATTCAAGACGAGGACCCATCAGCACGAAGGCACGAAGAAGACAAAGGTTAACCGAGATGAATCGGACATCTCTGAGAGCCAGCGGGTCTGGGGGATGAATCGGGCGTGGTAGCTGTCTCCGGGACGCTCTTTGAGAGCGATTCGGCTTCATCCCGAGCGCTGGCGCCGACATGCCACGATAATGGAAGCCGGATGAACAACGCGAAGGGGTTTGGGGCACGGCGAGCCTCGGCCACGAATGAGTTCCTCGACGTGCGTTCGAGGAACGGCCCCCCCGAAGACCAGAGCCCCTCCCTGAGCTCTTCCCCATAGTAGGGCCAGACCCCCACCGCTGGACGCGTTGTAAGATTGGTCGCCGGGGCTGGGAGCCCAGCGGAGACCACCATCCGACATCCTACACCCACATACATGGTCATTGGCTAAAGTTGGCAGGTCCTGACGCCACATTTCCACCTCCACCTCCTTTCCCTCCTGCGACTGGGCCCTGCCCGGGACGACGGATTCGTCGCGCTTGGGGCCCTCCAGGGCCCCAGAAAAACTACTGGTGGTGCGAGGGGGTCGGCTTTCTGAGAAGGCAGAGAGGCTCCTGAGAAGGCAAAGACCTTCACAGAAGCCCGCCTGGTTTCCAAGAAGCCTTCGGATAAGCACCCAGGCGTTTCTAAGAAGGCCCCTGCCTTCTCAGAAGCCCTCCGCCGTCTTGACAGGCCGCCCCCCTCGCGCCAGGACCTTGTAGGCGCAGCCAATCCTCCTCCTCGTCCTCCTCCCCGTTCTCCTTTATTCCCTTTGCTTATGGGTAACTCCTTCCTGTCGCACCCCGAGGCCGGTCGAAAGGGCGGGCCGCGCGTTTCGCCCGAGACTTCCTCACCATGTATGACCCTGATAAGTTCCACAGATTGAGGGCGCGTGGTCTTCAAACTGTGGCTCTCGCCTGAGCGCCGCGCACACTCGTTATTTTATGTGCAAGAGCTTCGCGGATTGAGGGCGGTTCCTTCCAAATACGTAGCTCTCGCTGTAGCGCCGCGCACATTCGTATGAGAAAGTTACAACATTGTCACGGATTGAAGGCGGTTCCTTTCCAAAATGTGGCTCTCGCCTTAGCAACGCGCACATTCGCTTCAAATCTTTGCAATGGTTGCTCTGGTTCTCAAGGTTAACGCACCAGAAACGGTAATGGAACGATTCTGGGTTGTCAGGGCGCAACAGTTACGTTGATTCGCGGTGTTGACGCCCCAGAAATGGAGTCCTGGCACGATTCAGGATCGCCAGGACGTAACAGTCATGTTAGCTCGTGGCGTTGAAGTCCTGAGAATGATGTTTTGGTACGCTTCAAGATGTTCACACGATTGTCTCCCCAACGGGGCAATTCCCTCAGTGGCAATGACCCCAGGGCCCTGTGACGACGAATGTTGGAGGGAGGATGTATCTCGACATCGTTGATGAGTCTTGGGTTTACACTGGCCCCTCCTCCTCCTCCTCCTCCTCCTCCTCCTTCCTCCGCATCATTCTCCTCCTCCTCCTCCTCCTCCAACTCCTCCGCGTCATCCTCCTCAAACTCCTCCGCACCCTCCTTCTCTGCCATCCGCTGCAACAACGGAACGCCCAGGCTCCGAAGCGGGAGCGCACTCGATGGCGCAGCTCCGTTTTCTGGCCGATGCCCGGCCGAGGCGCGCCCGCCCCCGAGGAGGGCTGGCTGGTGCGCCTGCAGCCGCCCGCGGTGCCGCGCCCGCCCAGAATGGCGGCGGCTGACTGCTCCGCTGCACGGTGCGCGTCACCGCTTCACCACCTCGTCGGCGACTCCGAAGGGTGTGGTTTGCAAAGGGTGTGGCTTGCAACCCTCGCCCTGGGGGGCGGGCGAGGACCTCGACAGAGGTCTCCGCCGCGCCCCGACGAGGGCAACGTGGTAACCCCCAGGCCCCACAGACGCAGATCGCAAGCCGCACACTGGCATAGCCAGACCCTTTGTGGACGCCAGCCTTCTTCCGCAGCTTCCGCGGCTTGCTGGCGGCCTCCGCGGCCGCCTCGCCGACCGACCACGACTGGGGGAGCCGTGCTCCGTACCCCCATTGAGGGGTCCTGTCAAGCCGAAGCCGACGGGCTTTTCAGGGAGTGTGGCCCAGATCTCCGACGTCGTGATTTCTTGCGCCGAGGACCCCCAGGAGGCCTGGACCCTTCCTCCAGGACGGGTTGAAGTTTGACGGCCCCGGGGCCTTTGTGAGGGCCCCCAGAGACCAGAAAGGCAGACAACACCCTCGCGATTCTTTCGCGACGCGAAGAGAGGTGGGGCTTTCGGCACATAACCTGGGTCTCTGGGCCTTCGCTCAGGACGATCCAGGCGGCTTACAAGAGGCCCCCAGAATTGCAACATCGGTCAAGAACTGACGGGAACCCATGGGCTTTTAAAGGACTCGCCTTTTCGCTCCCGAGAAGCCTCTGAGGCCTCAGGATGGTCCACGAACGGCTAGAGGAGCCCCAGGGAGGCCCAAGACGGTCGACTGGGGCTTCCCAAACCCTTCAAGATGGCTCCGAGACGGCCGAATATTGTTTCGAGACGGCCCTCGAGCCCGCCAAGACGGCCTCCAGACGGCCACCCCTACAGACCGCCCTCGGCGAGGCGCAGCTGGTGGAGAGCATCCCGAGGCTGGACCGCCTCCCGGAATCATCTGCGAAAGCTGGGAGAGCTCTCAACAGTACACGACCACCAGCCCTGGCCAGGCCCATCCTGGACCCCGGACTGGAGGCCCTCCTGGCTTGGGCCTGGAGGTCTCTTGGGGGCGCGCACAAGGGGGTGGAGGGAGGGGGGAGGGCGTCTTAGAAGGAGGCTGCTTCCTAGAAGGCACCGGCCTTACACATCTATAGATCAGGCCCGCGCCGTCTGAGAAGCAGGGGCGCTTCTAAGAAGCCCCCCTCCCCCCTCCCCCCGCCCCCCTCTGCGCGTGGTTGAGTCTCTACACCAGTCCAGGGCCCAGGACGGGCCTGGCCAGGGCTGGTGATGGTGCATCGCTGGCGCCCCTCCGACGAGCGCCCGAGCGCGGCCAGACCGCCGCAGCTCCCCCAGTTAGGCCACCGGCCTGCCTCGGCCGCGGGCTCCGCCGCGGGCTCCGCCGCGGGCTCCGCCGCCCGCCGCCTCTTTTTCGGCCTCGCCGGGCGCGGCGCCCCCTCCGCCGCGGGCTCCTCCTCCGGCGTCTTCTCCGGCTCCTTCGGGGGCGCGGCCGCCGCGGCGGCCGCGGGCGCGGCCTTCTCCTCGGCGGGCGCGCAGTAGGGGGGGCAGGGGGAGGGGGGAGGAGGAAGGCTTACCCAGATGGAGGCCGCTTCTCAGAAGACGCGGGCCTGGCACCTGTGGAGAGAATGCCCGTGCCCTCCAAGGAGCAGGGGTGCTTCCAGGAAGCCTTCCCCCCCTCCCCCATGCCCCCCCCCCCCTGCGCGCGGCCGATCTCCGCCCTCGCGCGCTCGGCCAGCTTCTCCGCCCGCCTCAGCTTCTTCCTGTCCACCTTTCGGCTGCACGAGAGGATGGAACTATTGACGACACGAGTGGCCTTTGGTGCGCGACACTCGGGGGCCGCGGGACGGCCGAAGTGGAGCGCGGAGGCCGCTGCTGCCGCATCGCATCCCGCCATCTGGGGACATCCGTGTGCCCACACGAAAGGTCACTCCGGCGAAAGGCCACCCTTTCGTATAGCCGAGCCTTGTTCAGCAGCCTCGCCTTGCCTGCCGCGCCCGCCTTCTCGGGCGGCTGGAAGTCCATCACGGTCTCCATCAGCTCTGGGGTCCATTTCTCCTCGCCCCAAACAGTCGCGGCGTCCCTGCTTCGATCCTTCTTTGTCCGCTCCGGGATATCATTGGACGTCTTTTTCAGCTTGGCGACGAAGAAGCCGTCCATGTTGTGTACGTGAGGGTAGTACCTCCGGGTCAAGGACAGTGTGGGATGGAATCGAAAGTCTCGATACTTGGTCATGCCCTCAACGCCAAAATTGACAGCACTAGAGAAAGAGACCAGCTCCACGTTTCGGTGCTTCAGCACGTGATCGACGACAGCCTCATTCTCCTCAACGGCTAGAGAGCAAGTGGAGTAAACGATGTAGCCACCAGTCTTCGATCCTGCATCCACCATGTCAATAGCGGTTGTCAGCAGCTCCTTGGATAGCTTGCTGGCCTCTTCAAAATCCTTGGCGCCCCTTTTCACCTTGACAGAGGGGTCCCTGGATATGATGCCGGAGCCTGTACACGGGGAGTCTAACAGGACTCGGTCTAGCCGGGGGAGCATGCCTTTAAGCTTTCTGCCGTCCATGCTGAGGACGACTGTGTTGGTGAGGCCAAGGCGGTGAATATTGGCGACGAGAGACTTGCACCTGTCTTTCCGCAAGTCGTTTGCGAACAAGGTGCCGGTGTTCCGCATCAACTGGCCGATGTAGGTGGTCTTTCCCCCTGGTGCGGCCGCCATGTCCAGCACCACTTCGTTCTGCTGTGGCGCCAGCGCCATGACAGGGACCAGGGACGATGCACTCTGGACCATATACTGCCCGGCCAGGTACTCAGGCGTGGCACCGATGGGCACGGCGGACTCGTACACCTTGAGGCCCACCTTTGTCCACGGACCGATGGGGTCCAGATTCACCTTGCGGGCAGTGAGTGCCTGCATCAGGGAGCTCCGCCGCGCCTTGAGCGAATTAGTCCTAATGGTCAGAGGCCTCTGCTGCTCGTTTGCCTCGAAGAACTTGATGGCCTGTTCTGGGCTGAACATCTGCAAGAAGTACTGTGCCAGCTCCTCTGAATAACCGAAATCCACTACCGTGCCGTATGCACTGAGTGAGGCGTCCTCCAGTCCTCGAGAACCCTCTGTAGATAGCATTGTAAGTTGGAAAAGGATCCGTATCCCTAACCCAGTTAGGGATCTCCTGGGCGCTCTCGCGCGCTCTTGGGGCGCTCCTCGTGACTTCCGCCGACGCCTTGCGAGCATGGTGGAGAACCCGATCCTCCAGCATGCACCAAGACGATCCAAAGGACCTGTCGTGGGCTGTTCTCGAACGACTCTTGGGCCGTTTTGGAGACTCCACTGGTCGGCCCAAGAAAACCAAATCGCCCCAAACTCGGAAATGCTTGCGAATCGACGCTAGCCGACGCAACATCGACGCAATTCGACGCTAGACCAACGCTCTCCCATCGGCTACCGAACGCTAGCGCACGCTAAAACACCCAACAAGTGACGTCCGAGGACGCACCAGGCTCCCATGATGTGCTGTCGAAGCATTCTCACTTTTCGTCTCAAGAACGCCCAAAACATCCCAAAAGTCCCCAAAGTTCGCCCAAATGAGGCAACCCAAAACCGCAAGAAGGGACCTGAGAGACGTCCAAGAGAAGGCAGAAAGGGGCTCCAAAAGGAGACGCGAAGGGACCTCGGGAGGAGCCCCCCAAGTTCGCCGCCGAGAACGCCGGCGGCCGCCGCGAACGGGAGGCCGACCCCAGTTGGGGTCCGACAGACATGGGGCCTGGGGCATCGCGCCATGCCGGCGATTCATCGGCGGTGCGGAGCGTCGAGGCTTCGACGACCCCATCTACGCTGGCCCGCACGCGACCGACTCCGAACCCCTGGGCCCGAAAATGCTGACGTCTCGCTCAGAACTTCTGCCGCCTACGGCCAGGATTCCGCGGGCGGAGCCGCCCCCCGCGTCTTGCTTCCGCCGGCCTCCGCCGAGGGCGAGGTGTGCCGAGGGCGGAGGCTTTCTGGAGCGCCCCCGTGTGGGCGACCTGGAGGCGGCCTCGCATCTCCTCCTCCTCCTCCTCCTCCTCCTCCTCCTCCTCCTCCTCCTCCTCCTCCCGTGGAGGAGCTGGCGACGGGATGGGCCGGAGGCTGCCAGGATAGGTCGAGCAGTCGGCGACCAGGCCGGCGAAGACCTCCTCGGAGGAGCGCAAGAGTTATGTTGCTCCCATCGTACTAAAGGGCTACATCCCAGAAGCAATTTCGCGCACCCAAGAAAGTATCGAAACAGTGTCGAACGAGCATCGCCTCCTAGGGCCCGACACGTGAAAACCCCCTAGTTTCGGTACTTCCTTGGTGCTCGAAATTACTTCTGGTGGTCAAGGCTCAAGTAGCACGCAACATCACAACGCAAGAGGGCATTGGCATCAACGCTCGAGGGTCGGCGCAAATTTCCTGCATCGGCACGGAACTCCCCGCTGACGCGCGGCGCGCCACAGGGAAACCCAGCGCCGACCCAGAAGAACTCGGCGGAGACATGCACAATCCTATGTGTTTTGTGCTGCCTTTTTGGAGGCGGCCATGGGATCTGAGCTGGGTGGGCCCCGCGAAAATCGGTGAATTAAGTCGGGCGTGTCCTCTTACAGGGACGTGTTGGACGAACACTGAAAAATGATCAAAACGTGCTTAAAAATAGCCAAACCAAATTTTTAAAGATCGTCCCCAGACTATTTTTTAAAATTTTTCCCCTGTAGAGAGGCAGGCCAAACTTAATCGGTGAGGAGGGGGGGTAAAGGGCAACTCCGGTCAAACTCGGCCACCAAACCCGTCGCGGGGTCCACCCGGTACAAAGTTTCACCGCGGATCAGGTTTTGACGGCCGGGGCCCGAAAACGGCCCCTGGAGGTCGAAAACACCAAGAAACATTCCCGAACCCAGAGCCTCGAACCTGCCCTCCCTTCCTGCTCGCTGGAACCAGTGCTGGGCCTCCTCAGAACCACAGCCGACTCCAAGTTTGTGCTGCATTTTGTTCTTTGGCTCCTGGCGGGACCGGTTGTCGCCCATGGACCGGGCCTTCCGCCAGCTGCCCAGGAGCGTCGCTGCGTCCTGGATTCGCTGCTTCACGGCCCCGAGGTCCGCCTCCCCGGACGCGATGCGAGCCAGCAGGCGCGACTGCTCGCCTATGGTGCGGACGCCAGGGACAGGGACGACGACGACGACGACGACGACGACGACGACGACGACGACGACGACGACGACGACGACGACGACGACGACGACGACAACGGCGGCGGCGGCGGCGGCGGACGGAGAAGACCCCAAAACGGCGCGGTTGCAGGCTGTGCGGTGACCTCGAAATCCTCAGACCCCCCTCGAGTCATGACAAAAATCACGGCGAAAGTGGTTTCTGTATTTTCGGCCTCTGGGGGCCCTTCCGGGGCCTCGGGACCGTCAGACAACGACTCAGGATGAAAAACCGGTCCCGGGGATCGGGTCGAGACCTCTGGGGGTCGACGCTATGACCAAATCATGACGCCGGGGCCCAAGAGACCTCACCGCACAGTCCGTCACCCATCACCGCATGGTGTTGGGGCCCTGCAACCCCAGTCGCCCGAGGCAGACTCCAAGAACAACCCGAGCGCCCAAGCCGTGCGCTCAGCCCAGATCCCCACAGACTCATCCGACGGTGTGGACACTGCCCTGTTTTGGGGTTCCCCGGCAATCGAGGGGAAGGGGTCCTGGACCGTGGGGCTCTTCCACACCCGGACCGTGGCAACTCGTGGGAGCCTTCCATACCCATCTTGTCGGCTCTTGCGAATCGACGCTGATCGACGCTGGCCGACGCTAATCGACGTTAAATCGACGCTAATCCACGCACGCCGATGCTGAAACTGGCGCTATCTCAGCGACTCCCAGACGCTAATCGACGCAAGTTGACGCTACAGGCACAATTACGAGGGTACACAAGGCTCCCAAGGTTTGCTACCGAATCATACCGATACCAATGCCCTTTCCGCCTTCTCGCCTGGTGGGGCCTCCTGGGCAGCCATCGCTGCCGAGGCTGGCTTCGCCTCGAGACCCTGGTCAGAACGCACCCTGGGAAAGGTCCAGGATGTAGCGGCAGCGGTAAAATTCTGTTGTCCGAGGGATTCTCACCCAAACCAGCTGCTCATCCTGCGCCACTCTTTGTCAGGATGAGGGGGCCGAACGGTCATTCCCCGTCCCTGGGCGCGTTGCTGAAATGGAATTCCGCGGTGCGGATTGTTGTTACGTTGTCGTCGTCTTCGTCGCCCGCGAACCCCCTGCGACCCCACCGCGACCCAACTTGCGACCCACCCCGCGACCGACCCCGCGACCCACCCGCGAGCCACCCGACCCACCCCGTGCCCGCCCCCTCACTCTTGTCCGCATCTGCGGGGTGCTACGTGACAGTCCCAGGACCCGGGAATAAACATGCAAAAAGCTGCAGAAGCGTAAACTTTCGAAAGTCCGCGCGGATTTCTTGGGTCGGCGCTGGGCCCCCCTCCCCAGGCGCGCGAAGCGCGCCGCGGGGTGGAGCCAGAAGGGCCGCCAGGGGGCTGCCCAGCGCCCGCCCACGAAGCCTGGGCGGGCTTCCAAGAGATTGCGCAGCACCCCGCAACGGCGGATAAGAGTGAGGGGGCGGGCGTGGGATGGGTTGCCGGTGAGTCGCGGGTAGGTCACGGGGTGAGTCGCGGAGTGGGTCACGGAGTGGGTCGCGGGGAGGACGACGACGATGACGACGGCGACGGCAACGATCATCTTAGGACTGAACGTTCTCATCTGCTCGCGTGCCATTCAACACGAACGTATCCTGAATCCTCGATACCCGCCCTCTGAGTCTTCGATCGCAACCCCCTGGGGTAAGTATATCTCCCTTGCATGCCACGTGTAGTTGGCGCACCGCTAATGCAGCGGAAGGGAGGGAGGAAGGAAGGGGCAAGAGGAAGCGAGAATGATGGAGCACGAGAGAGATTAGCAGGAGGGGGGTTTACGAGCAGGAAACCAAGCGGCAGAACCTGACGGGCGGGTCGGGCGGGCGGACCCTAACAAGCGGGCTGGGCGGGCGGGCACAGACGGCGGGTTCGAGCGGGCGGGCCGCTGAAGAGTCAATCCTGCGTGAATCGACAGGAAATCTCGAGCGATAGCGCGATTTCCAAATCGTGAGGAAATCCAAAGCGAGAATATGAGTCCCTGACTGTCGAGAGCGCGGCGTTTCAATACATTGAATGAAAAGAAGCCCCACGCGAGAGTGCGATTCCTAGTTCCTAGATGAATTGTGGGGAAGTCCCGCGCGTGAGCTCAGTTTTGGGGTAAATTCTAGACGCTTCGCGTATCCCCACCAGCCCGTCCAGAAACGACGCCCAGGCGAGTAGAGGGTCGTCCTGAGGGGCTTTTCGGCGTCTTGGGTGCCTCGGGGGGGCCTCTGTGGGCCGTTCGGGATCCTCTTTGGGGCCTCCTGGGGGCCTCTTGGGGCCTCTTGGGGCCATCTTGGGGCCTTTGGGGGCCTCCTGGGCGCTTCTTGGGGCCATCTTTGCCTCTTGGGTGCCTCTGGGGGGTCTCTTGGGGCCTCTTGGGGGTCTCTTGGGGGCCTCCTGGGGGCCTCTTGGGGGGCCTCTTGGGGCCATCTTGGGGCCATCCTGCGGCCTCTTGGGGCATCCTGGGGACCTCTTGGATCCATCTGGGCGCCCTTGAAGGCCCTGCTGGGGCGCTCTTGGGGCAATCTTGGAGGACATCGGTCAAGGAAGTAGGGCTCCTTAATTAGAGCCCCCCCCCCAGGAACTCCAAAAATCGTCTCCTGTACCGCTCTGGGGCCGCTCTTGGAGCGCTCTTCGGCGCTCTTGGCGCCGTCATGGGGCTTTCTTGGGCCCTTCTTGGAGCTATCTTGAGCCATCTTGGAGCCATCTTGACGCCTCGGATGTGCATCGCAAGCGGAAAAGTGAGAACACCAAACACATTGATTTCCCTAGGGTTTTGAAGCATTTTGGCCTCTTGGATGCATCCAAATGATGCTCTTGTGGGCACTTGGAACCGTCTTGGAGAGTTCTTGGAACGTCTTGGAACATCATGGGGACCATCTTGAGGCATCTTGCGCTATCTTGAGCCATCTTGGAGGGTATCTTGGGCTCCCTGAGGCCCTCTTGGAGCCGTCTTGGGCCATCTTGGGCGCTCCAACGCGCCGCGGAACCCCCTGTCCAGGTCAGTGGGGAGGGGGTAGGGGGAGGGGTAAACCCCTCCCCGAAGGGGAAGAAGGAGGGGTGGAAGAGGAAACTCGTTAAACCACCGACGCCCAGAGGGCTGGTGGGATTAGAAGAAATATTGGGCGGGAGCCGTTGCCTTGGCAATTTGAGGACTAACAACGCAGTCTGAGGCCCAAGACGCCCCCGTTCTAAAAACCTGGCGCGAGCCCTGGGAGGGGCACTTAAATTGAAAAAAGCAGAATGGGCACCAGAGACCGTTCAGCCCCCCTCTCTCTCTCTGTTCATGCAGCTTTCTGTTCTCGGAGGGGCCTTCTACTCCGGCGTCGCATCTTTTTCGCGACGTGGCCCCCTGGCAAGGTTGACCCCTTCTCCAGAGGCCGGGTCATCCCGAGCCCCTTTTTGACGGCCGACAATGGCCGAGAAACCTCCGTCGCGACTTGCCGTGTACACGAGGAGGCCTGGCTTTCAGGCAATAACTCGGGCCTCCAGCGGCCGTTCAGGACGATTCTAGCACCCACGGAGCGCTCTCCCAGGCGCAGCTGGAAGCCGGAACACCTCCGGGAACCGACAGGAACATCGAACTGCGCACTGCCGTGGCAAACCCTGCGTCGTGTTCCTGCTCCAAGGAGGGAGCCCGGGAGCCCGAGAGCGACGAAAGACCGGTTCGCCTCCAGCCGGCTCGTCGCCGCCCTGGCCAGCTTCCTTCGGCGGCGCGCACAGAGGGGTTCGGGGGAGGAGGGGGGGCTTCTTAGCAGGAGGCTGCTTCCTTAGAAGGCGTCGGCCTCACATCTACGGACCAGGCCCCCCGCGCCTTCTAAGACGCAGGGGTGCTTCTAAGAAGCCGTGCCCCCTCCCCCTAATTACCCCCTCTGCGCGTGGCAGCATCCTGGTCCCCGCCCGCGTCGTCGGCGCCCTCGCCGCCCGAGCCGTCCGACTCGTCTTCGGGCGCCTCCGCGTCGCTTGCGGCGTCGCCCCCTGCTTGGCTGCACGCAAGAGGGACCATATAGGCAACGGGACCCCCCCTGTCAGACCGTATTGTAAGGATGAACGATAAGCATGCAATGGCCTTGGAAGGCCATGTCGACACTTTGCGAGCGGGGCGCGGTCAGCGAAAGCGGCCAAGGATGGGCCAAAGGGGAAAGGATGCAAGGGTAGCCTTGGAAAACTGCTCATCCTTGCAATGCGGGCCAACTGCTGTAGTACAACAGGGAGCGTTTGGCATGGCAACTTTCGGCCTTCGGTCGGGGTTGGGCCCTCACCTCTGGTCACTATCTGCCTCTGGGTGCCCTTGACTACCTGGCCCAGAGGCTGTCAAAACTCTGGCCTGGGATGAAACGCCAGTCGAAATGGGCCCAGGCCTCCGGAGATCTTCGCTGTGAACAGAAGCACGGCGTCGGATGTCTGGGCTAGGCAGGAGTGCGTCGCCGAAACTACTGCGACTCTTCCTCCTCCTCCTCCTCCTGCTCCTCCTGCTCCTCCTCCTCCTGCTCCTCCTCCTCCTCCCTCCTCCCTCCCTCCTCCTCGCTTGTCGTCGTCCCCTTCCGCGAGGCGCACCTCTGGTGCGCGCGGCCTGCCGATCGTCGCGTGCGATGTCGCGGCGGCGGCACCGCTGCCCGCGTTCGGCCCCCTCGCGCGCCCCGCAGGCCGCGCACCCGAGGCCACGCTGGCAACGGGCCACTCTTCGGCCACACGCTTCGGGCCACTCGTCGGGCCACTCTTCGGCCGCACCGCCGTTAGGGAATCTGCGGGCACCCCGCTCTTTGTGTATGCCACCGCGTGTCTGCACGTCGGTGTTCCGTGGTCGGAGCGCGTGGGGTGCCTGTGCGGCCGCCCTCCTCGCTTTCGCCTGAAAGAGGGGGCAGAGGCCAGAGCGGGCGCCATTGCTATCGTGGCCTATGTGCCACCTGCTCGCCCTTGGAGACCTGTCCACAGTGGCGCTCGGAAGGAAGGAAGAAAGGGTAAGAATGACCTGTGGTGCGCGGCGTTTTGGGGGCCGCGGGGGGACCAAGCACAAGGGCGCAGGACGCTACTCTCATGTCGCGTTCGGCGATTGGGGTATTTCAGCGGGCCCGCACCAAAGGTCACCCAGGCGAAGGGTCACTCTTACGTGTAGTCGAACTCTTGCGCGCAGCCCACCTATGCCGAGGTCGGCCCCGTCCTGGTCCGGGGCCGCGCCCAGCCAGTCCTCCTCGGCGGCCGCCTGGTACCGCCAGGGGGGGCGGCCACGTCCACAACTGCCAGGAGCCGTGCCCCAGAAGGTCGCCTTGACGTCGCGCTTCGGACCCCACGATGTGCGCGGTCATGCTCGCGCTCTCGCGCCAGCGCTGCCTAGGCCACTGGGCGCGAGGCGCGATGATCTTCGCGCCCCTCTGGGCGACCTGAGGATCCCTTGTGGAGCGGTGGCTGCGGCTACCTTCTCGCCCTCCAGAGAGGGCCGATGGCCGCACCCACCACCCAACGAGAGGCCCTCGAGACCCAGGAGTACGACCCCGAGGCGGTGGACGAGGTCATGCCCTGGCGGTGGACCTTGCCCGCACCAGTCTGCTGGGCGTCGCCCTTCGCCTTCGCCTTCCCCTTCTTCTTCTTGAGCACCGGCATTTTCTTCGGCCCCACCGCGGGGCGCTGGCGGGGGCGCTTAGCGTCCAGCCGCGGACTGGCCCCCGCGGCTTGAGCCAGACTTGGCACGACCCGAACCAGGTTGATCTCACACTGTCTCCAACACTGCTGGCCACCTCCAGATGGCCAAGATGACGGCCCCAGGCCCTCCAGATGGCCTCACAGATATAAGCAAATGGTCGTTGAAAGGCCCCGTTTCGTGCGCCATTGAAACATCAACCGTCGACAGATGATTAATTCGCTTGGGCTCGCCTTCTGACGGCCTCCAAGAAGCTAGCTCCAAGACGGCGCCAGAACAGCCTCACTGCCTCAAAAAGCCTCAGCCCAGGCCACGCCACGGTCCAAACTGAGACTGACCCACTTCGGCCCATAGACGGCCCCCTACTGGCCCAGCCCAAGGCGACCCCATTAGGGCCCCGATACTCCCAGGACCAAGCGGACCAGCCAGATGCCACCAAAGACTCCCAAAGGCCTTAAACATGCCAACAGACGCCCGAGAAAGATCTCCAGAAGGCTCCCAAGATGACCGCGATATTGAGAAGCGCAACTTTTGAACAATTCTGGCCTGGCAGAGGCATATCCAGATTGCAAGGCGATCTCTGTAGCAATCGCCGCCACGCCTGAATTCCACATCGTGTAGAGCCGCGACCGCGACGGCGTCCTTGTAGAAATCCTTCCGAAGTCCCGCTCAGCTCGATCCCGCGAGGCGATGGGTGGCACATGGGGTGGAAAGGTGCTTAACAAACAGCGCCAAGCTTGGCCCCGTGAGGAGCCCAACCCCAAGCTGCCCTAAGAGAGCCCCAGAGAGACCCAAGATGGGCCCTCAGACGGTTCCACGAGGGCCCCTGGGGAGGACAGAAGACACTGACAAAACATGTCTTCAAATGTTTGTTTGGCATTATGCCTCGTTGTCGCCCTGACTGAAAAAGAATTGTCCGAGATACATTCAAGAAACCAAAAGGGTTCGTGGTCTGATAAAGGCCCCATTGGGGACCAAACAGAGCCCAACGGCGGTCGAACAGTGTCTCACAAAACCGTGACTGCACACACTACGCTACAACTCTAACACAAATGACTCCTACCGTGATCAAGGGGAATGCGCGGAGCTGGTGAATACGTCGATGCGTGCAGCTTCAGCTGCAGCAGGGGTGGCCTCGGCTCGATCAGCTGGGAGGGTGAGTCATAGTAGATATTGGAAGACCGTTGACTTGGAACTGATAGCCTGCTGCTGGGACTAAGCTGGTCTACCGGGGTGCAGACGGACCACGTACGTTCGGCACCGTGCCACGAGCAGGGGTGATCTTGGGACCCCCACGGGAGCAACAAGTGATCGAATAACTAGTGGCCCTGGCGTGTCAGTACTTCTATCTGGAGGCCCGCAAGATGGCCAAACGTGGCCGCATGATGGCACGACCTTGCCCAACACGAAAAACGAGGCCTGGGCCTGAGGCCCTAACTCGAGCCCCCAGGCAGAGAGCCTTCCCTCCGTCCATCCTTCCTCCCCGCGCTCGCAGGAGCAACCCAGCCCAGGCCCGAGGCCCAGGCTGAGGGCCTGCCCCTCCTGCAGCGCGTCGTGGCACCACTGCCTCTTCGCCTGGAACTCCATGTCGTAGGGCGGGCTGATGATTTCCTTCGCGCGGTGTCGCTGGCCAGGGTGTGGGAAGAAGGCCCTCTGCAGGAGCGGTCGGCGCCGAACCAGGAAGTCGGATCGGATCGGCATGTGCGTTGGATCAGGCCGCATCGGCACGGAGCCGAAATCAAGTCGGATCGTCTGCGCCCGGATGCACCACAGCGCCAGCTCCCGGTCACATCTGCGAAACATGTCAAGGCTGTTCCTGACCAGTATCCGACGCCTGTGAGCACGCCTATCCTGACACCTCGGGACGCCAGGGAGGCGGACGCGCCTCCCCCTCTCAGGCGAGCTCCGCGCGCGCAGGCACTCGCGGCTCCGTGGGGCAAAGGTCTGAGGCCCTGGGGCAGAGGCCCTGAGGCAAAGGTCCGCATCTAATCGCGACCGCCTCAAGACCTCGCCCCTGGGAAACGGCTTGGAAGAACCAGGGCCGAATGCGCCCGCGCGTCTGGAAGGCTCGCTCCACGCACAGACCTCATCCACATCCTACCCTCACCGATCACGCCTGGCATTTGATTCCTTCTTCAACCTCGTTCCGCCCTCTTCCGAAACGCCTCGCGGCTCTGCCTCCGCTCGCTCCGGACTCGGCTCCGCCGCCATCCCTGTTTTGCATTGCAGCCAGAGGCCAGAAGGCCAGCCCTCGCCGAACGATGCTATCCGGTTCTCGGTGTGGCTCCGCCGCACTAGCGCGATGTACATAGGCGACGCGTGGTGTCGAAGCTCCTGCATTGCTTGCATACCCGCTGGCCGAACCAGGCAGAAAGAAATAAGCTGTACGAGTTGCAAGCTCGATGCCTGCGCACAATGTGCGGCATCCCGCACCCGTGTTAGCCAGGTCAGCAGTTCTTTTTCGCCTTCCGACAGCTTCTGCTGGCTACCGCACGACAGCGCCGTTCGACGATGCACTCTTGCATCTAGCAGGGCAGAGCTGGTCCGCCCGACTGGGCCACGTAGGCGTGGCAGACGGAAAAGAATTGGAAACGCTGCGTGTTCGACATGATGTGCAGACCAGCCAGCGGCCAAGGCGCCTTGCACAGGACGCTGCTGGAAGGCAGGCCAGCTTGGAGCATCTGCCGTGAACGTTTCACTGTGCGGCCGTAGCTGTGGACGTTTCACAGTTTCCCTGCTTGCGCACCACCGATGTGCATGGCGCGCTTCTTCTTTATCTTCTTATGGGTTTAAGCATCATTCTTTTGCACGGTCGGGAACTTTTGCTTGGCGGCCCCGGCGACACGCAAATTATGCCTTGCGAGCGAATAGCGTGTCGCTCCGCTCCACAGGGCGGGAGTCTCGGAAAGGCTCGGGGCGTTGACGCCTGGGGGCCCCGAAGTGGACAGCGTGTCGCGCAGAAGCGCGGTGGGTCAGAACCAGCCGACCGACACGCTGGCCGAAAGCTTCCGGCCCTAATCTCCGGGGAGCATTAAAAAACACCTACACATCCAGCGTCCGCGCACGGCAGGCAGGTCGGCGTCGCTAGACTCTCCTTCGGCTGTTCCAAGATGGGGCCCTGAGGGATGGGGCCCTGAGAGAACGAGTGGGATCCCTTGGGGGGAGCTTGGAATACATGTCCTATCCTTTGGGCACCTATCCCTCAAAGCCCCATCTTTGACCCGCCGACCCCGCTACACCCCGCTGCGCAGCCCTCCCTGGGCGCGCGGGGCGCGCCCAGGGTAGCGGAGTGCGCCCTGCAGGGGTGCGGGGAGGGGTACGGCGCCAGCAGAAGACGACCGCCCGCAGACGTCCGACGTTTTTATGCTTCTTTTCGCGCCCCGCGTGCGCGATTGTATCTTCCCTCCGATTCCCGCGACATCTGGCGTCATGACTCTTTCAGTGACATAGGACCCTGGAACCTTCGAGTGATCATCTGGGATACTTGTTTCATGGCTCCCAGGACCCGCCCGATGCGGGGCTCTACCCTGACCAGAGCTCAACAAGGCGGGTCCAGCTGCAGCCACGAAGGCGACCAGAAAGGCACGACAAGGGGGAAAATGCAAGACCTCTCGATTCCTGGGGTGACCCGCGTCTTACTGCCATAGGCGTGCACGGCGACACAGCGCAGACGAAAACACCATGCCGGAGCGGACAACGAAACCGAAGCTGACCGGAATCGAGAGGCCCCCCAGCCAGCTCAGAAGGACGCAGCGACACTAAAGGCCTCCCAGATGGGGTCCGAGCAGATGGGGTCGGAGGATTGCCCTGGATCGCCGATGCATCGTCGATGCATCGTCGATGCATCGCCGATGCATCGGCGACATCGGCGTGGCGAAATCGGGCTCCATATCGGGTCGCATCGCCGATGCATCGGCGATGCGGCGAGTTTCTGACCCCATCTGCTCGGACCCCACCTGGGAGGCCCTATAGAGACACTTGACGCAGGAGCCAACCACAGCCGACCGGTCCGATGCGACCGAGCGCAGCCAGCTGCGCTGCGGCCGAGCCGACGGAATCGCGGGCACGCGTGGATGGGGTCCTTCACGAATGGCTGCGCGATCGCCTGGCCCGAAGGGGGGGCGGCGCTCCGCCCCAGAGGAGGTGCGGGCAGGCCCGGCGGCGATGCGGCTCCTCTTCCTCCTCCTCCTCCTCCTCCTCCTCCTCCTCCTCCTCCTTCTCCTCCCCCTCCCTCCTCCTCCTCCTCCTCCTCCTCCTCCTCCTCCTCCTCCTCCTCTTCCTCCTCCTCCTCCTCGTCCTTCTCCTCCCCCTCCTCCCTCCTACTCCTACTCCTCCTCCTCGTCCTCCTCCTCCTCCTCCTCCTCCTCCTCCTCCTCCTCTTCCTCCTCCTCCTCCTCCTCCTCCGCCTCCTCCTCCTCCACGTCGTCGTCCTCCTCCTCCTCCTCCTCGTCCTCCTCGTCCTCCTCGTCCTCCTCGTCCTCGGTCCTCCTCCTCCTCCTCCTCCTCATCCTCCTCCTTCTCCTCCTCCTCCTCCTCCACCTCCTCGTCCTCCTCCTCCTCCTCTTCCTCCTCCTCCTCCTCCTCCTCCTCACCGCCTCGTCCTCCTCCTCCTCCTCCTCCTCCTCCTCCTCCGCCTCCTCCTCCTGCTCCTCTTCCTCTTCCTCGTCCTCCTCCTTCTCCTCCTCCTCTTTCTCCTCCTCCTCCTTCTCCTCTGTCTCCTCATCCTCCTCCTCCTCCCTCTCCCTCAGCCTCCTCCTCGTCCTCCTCGTCCTCCTCCTCCTTCTCCTCTGTCTCCTCCTCCTCCTCCTCCTCCTCCTCCCTCGTCCCTCCTCCTTCTCCTCCTCTTTCTCCTCCCCTCCTCCTCCGCCTCCTCCTCCTCCTGCTCCCCCTCCTCCTCCTCCTCCTCCCCTCCTCCTCCTCCCGCCTCATCATCATCATCATCATCATTATCATCATCATCATCATCAGCATCATCATCATCATCATCATCATCATCATCATCATCATCATCATCATCATCAGCATCATCCTCATCCTCATCCTCATCCTCATCCTCATCCTCATCCTCATCCTCATCCTCCTCATCATCATCATCACCATCATCACCACAATCACCATCACCACCATCATCATAATCCTCATCACCATCATCATCACCATCATCATAATCGTCATCATCATCACCATCATCACCATCACCATCACCATCACCATCGCCATCACCATCACCACCACCACCACCACCATCATCATCGTCATCATCAGCATCGTCGTCATCATCGTCGTCATCATCATCAGCATCATCATCACCATTACCATCACTATCAAAATCATCACCAGCAGCATCATCCTTATCATAAACATAGTCATCATCAATATCATCATCAGTATCATCATCATCACCATCATCATCATCACCATCATCATCATCATCATCATCATCATCATCATCATCATCATCACCGTCACCGTCACCGTCATCAGCATCATCAGCATCATCAGCATCATCATCACCCTCATCATCATCATCAGCATCATCATCACCCTCATCATCATCATCCTCATCATCCTCATCATCATCCCCCTCCCCCTCCCCCTCCTCCTCGTCCTTCTCCGCCTCCTCCTCCTCCTTTTCCTCATCCTCCATCCATCGCCCGCCCCATGTCCCGAGCCTGCGGGAGGATCATCAGCTCGTCGCTGTTGTCGTTGTCGTCGTCGTCGTCGTCGTCGTGTTCGTCGTTGCCATCGTCGTCGTCATCGTCGTCGCCGTCGTTGTCCTCGTCGTCGTCGTCCTTCTGGGTCGGCGGCACCGGCCGTAAGGCCTTCACAATATTTTCTCTACCCTCCGCCCGCCTCCCCACCCGAGACCTCCGATGTCCAAAATTCAAACTTTTCCACAGCGTGGACCCCAGAGCTCCTGACCCCATCCCTGTCCCAGGGACTGCCTTTCCATCCCGAGTCCCTGCCTAACGGTCCCCGGGGCATGGAAGCGGCCCCCCAAGGCCGAAGCTGGCGCACAAGCCACCGCCTTGACGTTTGGAGGTGGAGGGGACAGGAGGGGGAGGGGAGGGAGAACGGGAGGAGGGGAGGCGGAGGAGGATGGGGCAGGAGCAGACGAATGAGGAGGGAGGAGCAGGAAGACGCGGAGGAGAGGGAGGTGAAGGAGGGGAAGGAGGAGGGACGAGGAAGAGGAGGAGAGTAGCATAGGGTTCATTAGCGGTCCTGGCCCATCTTGGGGGCCAAAGACCTAGACCCGCATTTATGCACATCCACCGCTTGGGCAGGAGCAGCACGCATCGAATCGGGGAATCGGATCGGAACGTGCATTCGGGCCGCATCGACACGGAGTCGGAATCAGATCGGATCGGCCGCACCAAGATGCATGACGACGCAAGCATGGGGTCGCGTCGGATCGTCAGAACGTCGGAATCGATTCGGATCGGGCGTATGCCACATCGGATCGATCGTATCGAAACGGACCCTGTTGGGGAATCGATCTCCCAAAACCCCTGCCCACGACGGCTTCCGAGACTCGTCGAAGAGGACGGCGCGGTGCTCGCTGCGGGCTCGTCGCCACGGTCGACTCCTCTGGCAGGACGCAGGCGACGGCGTCCCTCAGCGACGCGCGGTCCTCGCGGGCTGCCGCTACAGCAAACGAGCGCGAAGAGAGACCCGGCTAAGAAGACATCCGCGGCCAGGAACGTGTTGTTCTTTTAGCGGTAGCGGCCTCGCGTGCGGCGACGAGGCGGAGCGAGTCGAGGTGGCGAAGCGGGCGCGCGCGGCTGGGCCCTCGAGCGAGGTCGCTTTGGATCGCCGCGCCAGCCACACAGCCATCCAATGATTCTCAACGGGCACGATCACATCAGCGTGGTGCTGGCTCGCGCGCGTGCCGTTCGCATCACGAGCCGAAAGAGAAGAGAAGAGGAACGGGAGGAGAACGGATGGATGGACTGTACCTGTGCGAGTGCACTTTCCCATGATCCGAACGATCACTCATATAGCCCCGCGGCCAGGAACTTCTGCTTGGCGTGTCGCGGCGGCGGGCACGCTCATCCTGCAACTCTTGTTCCGTGGTGAGTGCCCCGCCTACCCTGCCTGCTTTCTGCGGCAGCCCTCTTCCTCCTTCCCTCTCTTGCTGCCAAAGAACTGGTGCGCCGCGCGTCCCCGGCTACGACAGTGCTCGAGCGGATCGCCTCTGCCGCACTGCGACGAAAAAAGTCGCGGCGGCAGCTCCCTGGACACGCCCTGCCCTGCGAGCCGAAGGCTCCGAAGGGCTGGCAGAAAAACTCCTCAAACATACTGTCGGCACTGCGCGCTGACTTCTTGGATCGGCACTGGGACACCCTGGCGGCGCCTCCGGCGCCACCCCTGGCGCGCTCCGCGCGCCGGGGAGGGGAGTCCAGCGCGGATCCAAGAGATCCGCGCGTACCGTCAGCAAGTGTCGTGATCATGCCGTTGTTCTTCTTCGAGGGGCGGGAAGCGGGGAAAGGCTCGGGGCGCGGGCGCTCGGGCACGGGGACGCGGTCAGCGTGTCGCGCCGAGGCGTAGTGGGCCAGAGCCTGCGGCGGCGACACGCCAGGCACTCGAAGCCGATGGGGCACGCTGGTCGCCGATCTCTGAGCGCCCTGAAGGGCCCAAGGGCTTCTGCGGGTCCTCAGGGCCGTCGGGGAATGCGACTCCTCGGCGTGGCACCTGCTGCCGCTGCTGTACGGGAGGTCCGGAAGAGCAGCTCCTGCACCTCCCGCCCTTTTGCGCCTCCCCTGGGGGGAAAGGAATCGCTGCCCATGACCAAGACTGACCGCGAAAACGTCGGCGCTGATCTTGGTCATCGTACTCTCGCCCTTCGCACCATCGCGCTCCTCTTCCTCCTTATTATCCTGCCCCCCACATTTGCTTACCGGTCCTCGCCTCCCCCCCCAAACCGTCTCCGACCCTCGCCCCTCCATCTAGTCGCCGCAACTTGTCGTGTGTCCCGCCGGCTCCTTAGGCCCATGCAGCTTGATGCCCGGCCGCGTGAAGAAGGAGGCCAGATTCGCCGTGTAGGTGGCACTGACCTGCTCTCTCCCCTCCTCCTCCTCCTCCTCCTCCTCCTCCTCCTCCTCCTCCTCCTCCTCCTCCTCCTCATCATCATCATCATCATCATCATCATCATCGTCATCATCGTCATCATCGTCATCATCCTCAGCATCATCATCATCATCATCTTCCAGCTGCTGCTCCTCCTCCTCCTTCTCCTGCTCCGCCTCCTTCCACCTACTCCACTACCAGCTCCCCCTCCTCGTCGCGGCCCCCCCCCCCCCGCCGCCTCCTACCTCGTCTCATCCTACTGCTTACTCTGCTGCGTCCCATCCCTCCCATGCTTTCTTCATGCTTTCTTGCGTGAGGATGGGGCACGCTGCGAGTAAATGCGGGCAGTGGTCGAAAGAGACGGACAGGAATGCGGCAGCCGTGCAGAAGGGGAGAGGCATCGTGCGAGAAAGGACGGCTGGCACCCAAGTGCCAGGCGAAGCTGTAACTGTTGCTGTTGCTGCTGCTGCTGTTGTTATTGTTGCTGGATTCTCGTTTATGCAATAGAACTACTGCTGTTCTCCCCAGCGGTGCACATCCGCATTTTTCAATTGAAGTGCCCCCCTCCCGAGGCTGGCATTCTGTTTTCTCAACCATGCTGTGGTCTTGGGCCTCCGCTTTGAAGAGACAGCGCCCCGCGTCACTCCTCCTTCCTTCCAACTCCCGCTCCTCCCTCCTTCCACCCCTGCCTCTGCCCTCCGCCTTTCTGCCTCCTCTTCCCGCCCCTGCCTCTGCCCTCCGTGAGCCCATTTCGGCACTCCCCTCTCTCGTCTCGTGGCCACATTTGGGGGCTCCAACGGAATCCCACACGCCAAATGCCACATGGCGGCGCGGCCTCATCTCGACAAACCCCTCACACGATTCGTCGCCCCATACTTAGGACGCCCCGAGTAAGGCCCAAATGCCAAAGTCCACGCGGCGGCACCGCCTCTTTTCGGCACACCCCTCACACGTTTCGTCGCCCCATGCGGAGCTCCAACGAAGGCCAGAATGCCAAAATCTGCATGGCCGCGCCGCCTCATTTCGGCACACCCCTCGCACGCTTCATCGCCACATACACACCGCCAATGAAGACTTAAATGTCAAAGTCCGCAAGGAGACGTCGCCTCACATCGGCACACCTCTCACACGCTTCGCGGCCACATAGGGAGCCCCAAAGAAGGCTCCAATGCCAACGGCCACGTGGCGCCTCCGCCCCACTCCGGCACGCCACTCACACGCTTCACGGTCACACAGGGACCCCGATTCAAGCCAAACTTCCATAGAACGCATGCCTGCGTCGTCTCATTTCGGTACGCCCCTCCAAGTCTCGTGGCCCCGTAGGGAGCCCCAAAGGAGCCCAAAGGCCAAAGTACGCATGGCGGCGCCGCCTCATTCACGCACACCTCTCACGCGCTTCGTCGCCCCAGGCGGAGCTCCAGCCTAGGCCCAAAGACCAAAGTCCGCATGGCGGCGCCGCCTTATTCAAGCACATCCCTCATACGTTCCGTCGCACCATAGGGACCTCTTAACGAAGACCCAAATACCAAAGTCCGCATGGAGACGCCGCCTCCTTTCGGCGCACCCTTGACACGCTTCGTGGCAACATAGGAAGCCCCAATGAAGGCTCAATCAAATGCCAAAGTCAGCATGGCCGCGCCGCCGCATTTCGGCACACCCCTCAAGTGCTCCGCGGCTCCGTAGGGAGCTCCACCAAACATACCCATCTTGGCACTCCCCATCACGCGCTTCGTGCCCCCCCGAGGGCCTCAACCGGGCGCCCTAGCACGAGGGTACACCCTTCACGCGTTTCGTGGCCCCTCAGAGAAAGCTCGCCGAAGTCCCCAGCGGCGGTTTTCGCATGGCGCCCCCCCGCCAGGATATGCGCGCCTGTCCTTCATGTTGTTCGCCTGCCTCCTTCTCGATTGCCTCGCGGTGCTCGCTTCCTCATATGGCTGGGCCATTTCGCCCGGATAATCTTGTTTATCCCGTCCCCATCCTCGATCCTTTCTTGGGATCCTCCCCCTCCGCCATTCTCTCTGCTCCATCATCCTCCATCCATCCAACCTCCCCCATCCTCCTCAAGTTGCATATGTTGATATATGCTGTCCCTTTCCCCCATCCGTCCGAACTCACCCACCACTCTGCAAGACTAACATCTTCCCCTTCCTCCTCCTTCTCATCCTCCTCCTCTTACTCCCCCTCCTCCCTTTTGACCCATACATCCTGGACTGTTTTGTAAACGCTGGGCCGGGGGGGGGGCTTCTTACTCTTTTGGATCTCCCCCTCTCAACACATCCTGTCCCCTCCCTTTCCCCAGACCTCCGACGTCGTATGTTTCTCGCAACGTGGACCACGAAGGTCTCGACCCCTTTCCACGGATCAGCTGTTCATCCTGAGTGGTCTTTTGACTGCACCGCGGCCCAGAAAGGGACCCCAGAGGCCGAAAGCTCACCCTGCACCCCTCCTCCTGCCTCCCCTCCGGCGCGGCCTTTCCTTCCGGCCAGTCCCAGGGGTGCCGAGCGTAGCGAGGCCAATGTCGCGTCAAAGGGTCAGGCAGTTATTCTGTAGCAGCCCTGGCCTCGGGGCCGGGACTCCAGTTAGCCCTAGAGCTGGATCCAGCGGCGCGCCTCTGCCACGCGCATCTCCGGTCAAAACAGCCCCCCGCTCCTCCTCCCTCCGGGCGGCGCGGCGTGACCGCGACCCCGACCGCGCCCCGCCCCGCCCCTGTGCGCGCCACGAGGACGATGAAGAGGAGGCCCAGGCGGAGGATGCGCCCGGGCCAGTCGTGCCACTCCGAGTCCTGGGCGCCCCCGGCCCTCGGAGGCCCCCTGGCCGGCCCCCTGGGCGGCCCTCGATGGCCAGGGCCAGCGTCGTGGTCGTCGTCGCCGCCGCCGCCTCAGTCAGCGCCGTCGTCGTCGTGCTTCTCCTCGTCGTTGCCCTTGTGCTCCCTCCTCCCTCCTGCCTCCTTCGCCTCCCCTCAGCGCGGGGGCAGCTCGAGCAGGACCAGAGTGAGCAGCTCGAGCAGGACCAGAGTGGGAAGGGGGACTCACGTGGGGAAGCCACCTGCGTGCACCCAGACGCCTGGCGCATCGAGTCGATGCGCCAGGCGTCTGGGTCGATGCCATCGACAAGAAGTCGAGGCGGCAGCTGTGTCGTCGTCTTTGCCCTCTGAAGGCTGGCCTCGGGCCGCGAAGCAGTCACAGACCGCCTCGGGGTGGAAAGCCTGCCCCTGGGGAAGGGGCCGCGAGGCCCGGGGGGGGCCCAGCGCTGGATGACTGGGCAGCCGACGTCTTCGCTGCCCCCTGGCGACGGGGGCGGCCGTGCATCGAGGATGAGGGGCCTGGCGTCGGCGCCGCCGCTCCTAGCCGAATCACGAACTGCACGCAACGGCTCTCATAATACGCCGTGTCCAATGCACCCCCCCAGATCCCGATGTCATGATTTTCTTACGGCGTGGACCCCCCGATGTCTCAACCATTCCGAACTATGTTTGACGGCCGCGGGGTTCGGGAAGAGAAACCTCGCGTCGGTGGCCGAAAGTTCACGGAGGAGGAGAGTCGCTGAAAACTGCCAAATCCTCTCGTAAAGCTGCTTCGAGCTGCTTGGAGGACGTCGACAGTGTGAGATCAGCCTCCCACTCCTCAAATTCAAAGGCTGCTCCCAGCGTGGAAGGGTGATCTCAGCCCGTACACGTTCATCGACGAGCTCACAAAACTTGCAAGTATCGCGGAAGGCTGATCCAAACGCACTACGGACGGGAGCTTTTGCTTCGCGTGTCGCGGCGGCGGTCTTGGCGACACGGCTTGCCTTGCGAGCGGATAGCGTGTCGCTCCGCTCCGCGAGGTGGGAGGCTGGGAAACTGGGACGTTGACGCTGGGGGGCTGGGAAGTGGATGTCGTGTCGCGCCGAAAGGTGGTGAGCCAGAACTGGCGACCGTATAACGCGGGTCAGCGGGCAACAACTGGTTTCGCCGACCGCTTGTTTCGCCCCGCTGGTTTCGCCGCCGGGCGAAACCAGCTGCAGTCGGCGAAACCAGCTGCCGTCGGCGAAACCAGCTGCCGTCGGCGAAACCAGCTGCCGTCGGCGAAACCAGCTGCCGTCGGCGAAACTGCCCGATCCGACCCGCTCGCTAGGGTGCGCCCGCCCGACCCGAAGCGCCTGTTAAGGTTCGCGCGTGCTCAGTCGAGCGCGCCTCACACTTTGATGTCCTGCCCGCCCGACCCGACCCGCCCGTTAGGGTCCGCCCGCCTTACCCGACCCGCCCGCTACGGTCCGCCCGCCCGACCCGACCCGCCCGTTAGGGTTCACGCGTGCTCGGTCGAGCGCGCCCCACACTTGAATGTCCCGCCCGCTCGGCCCGACCCGCCCGTGAGGGTCCGCCCGCCCGACCTGGCGCCGGCGTCGCCAGCTCTGTATCCCGCGTTCCTCCCGCGGACCGCCGGGCGCTCCACCTGGGCTTCGAGCGTCGCCCAAACGCCGCCCGCTGCGGGGAAGCCAGCGGCGCCTGTGCACAAAAGGAGCCATGGAGGACGCCCTGGCTGACGGCGACGACGACCACAAATACCAAGCCCAGCAGAGGGGACATACGACGGCGACCTACGACGACGACGACGACGACGACGACGAGGACGCCCGACGCCCGACGCCCGACGCCGACGCCATTGAGCACGGACCGACCGTCCCTGCATTCCTATAGGCCTACCACGACATAATCTTAGAACCCAGAAATGTTCTAAGAACAAAAGCAATGTTATTAGAACATAAGCCCGATGTGTTTAAACAAGACAGACTCAGCCAGAAATGTTCTAAGAACATTTCGTGGAAACCACGAGAGGTTATTGGGACATTGTTTGGTGGGCCTCTAGAGGAGCCGGGACGCTTCGCCACTGCTTGACGCCAACGCCGACGCCGACGCCGAGGCCGAGGCCGAGGCCGAGGCCGAGGCCGAGGCCGACGCCGACGCCGACGACGACGACGACGACGACGACGACGACGGCGGCGACGGCGACGGCGACGCCGACGGCAACGACGGCAAAACCAGCGCCGGCGAAACCAGCGCTGGCGAAACCAGTGCCGGCGCAACCAGCCGCCGGCGAAATCAGCGGGGCGAAACCAACGGGGAGAAACCATCGCACGCGAAACCAGCGCCGGCGAAACCAGCCGTCGGCGAAACCAGCGGGGCGAAACCAGCGCCGGCGAAACCAGCGCCGGCGAAACCTGCGCCGGCGAAACCATGCCCGTCAGCGCTGCCGGGGTCTAACCAGCATGAAGCATATCCCTGCCACTATGACTTGTATCGCCTTATCTCGATACCGATCGCAAGGGTTACTTCAGGGCCTGAGGACGCATCGCTAAGCTTGCCACCGCCTATTGGCTTGCCAATCGTAAGGACATGCACGAGTTCGAGGCTGGTCAGGGTCAGCCAGAGCCACGTCGCCGACCCCGGCCAGCCGCACAGCAGCCCCTGAACCGGGGTCCGGCCTGACGCGAGGTCTGCCCTGCGAAGGCCCAAACCCAGGCCAGCAGGGAGGCATCAGAGAGGACTGGATGACCTGTGCTAGCGCTGCCCCCTGTTACGGGCCTCTCGGGTGCGCTGAAGAGGCCACAAAGAGGGGATCGGATGAGGTTACAGCGCATATGGACCGCGGCATGTGCGCACACTGGGAGGGGGGGAGGTGACCCGTGGAACGAAGAAGAATAAGAATAATGAAAAGAATAAGAAAAGAAGAAGAAGAAGAAGAAGAAGAAGAAGGATCAGAGGAATAATAACAAGACGAATTGTCAGAACATTGAGAAAGAAGAGCCAACTCTTGGCCCGGCCATGGACGCCTCTAGTCCTCACCCCCCTTCTTCGACGCCGTGGTGGCTGTCGGGTCCGCGGCCCGGGCCTCCGGCGGTGGGCCACCCCACGAAGAAAGCTGTCGTCGAGGCGAAGCCGCTGGACCGCATTTCGAGGCGAGCAGACCGCCGAGGACCCACCAAAACCGCTCCCGAGAGCCAACACGCCGCGCCCCCACCCACCCACCCCTCCACGCCCCTGAGCCTCGCGTCGTGTGTGCACAGCTTTCTGAAGACAGCATGGCCATGCTCCTTCCCCCGACTCAGTCCCCCGCAGTCTCGCCCGAGCCGGGCGGCTGGCGATCAACCCCCCCCCCTTCGACGCCCCCACGCCCCCCCCCCCCCTTTGCTCTTGCCCGACGCGGCTGGCGGGCTGCCCCCCCCGAGTCTTCACCCCCTAGGGAGCCCACACAAAGGGCGTGCGCGCCCAACCACGTACATGAGCACGGCCCCCGAGCTGCGAGACCAGCCTCGTGATACGAACGTTCGCGCCATGCGTACTCTCGAACCCAACGTGAATTCATGTGCGTGCACGCCCCTCGTTCGCTCTTGACCCCCCCTCTCCCCAGACGCCTGGCGTCGGGACTTTCTCACGTGGGCCCCATGGAAACCTTTTTGGGGACTGTTTCCTCATCCCGGGCTGCTGCTTGACGGCCCGAGGGCCCGGAAAAAAGGGCCCGCATGAAGCGATGAAGACCCCCTGTGTCATCGTTAGCACCAAAAACAAAATAGATGATATAAGTAAGGGGGGGCAGATTCAGCGGAACGATATGCTTGGCACCGCACCAAACTGCAACACCGAAATAAACATTGCCCTCCCCTCCCTTCGACCGCAAGTACTGCCGCCCAGAAATTCAAATCATGGCGTGCTAACGTTTCTCTCTCCGTCCTCCTGCTGTTCCTCCTGCTCCTCCTCCTCCTGTTCCTCCTCCTCCTCCTCACCTCTTCTCTCCTCGCCGCCCATCCTTCCTCATCCTGTGTTCTTTTTCCTCACCACCCCTATCCTATATGATTCGCAATATACTCCCCCACATGATATCGAGTTTCGTCGACCGCCCTAATGGGTGGTCCACCCCAGGGCACGAACCCCCGCCCAGAACACAGCGTACTATTAGTAATAATAGTAGTAGTAGTAGTAGTAGTAGTAGTAGTAGTAGTAGTAGTAGTAGTAGTAGTAGTAGTAGTGGTAGTAGTAGTAGTAGTAGTAGTAGTACTAGTAGTACTAGTAGTAGTAGTATTAGTAGTAGTAGTCGTAGTAGTAGTCGTACTAGTCGTAGTAGTCGTAGTAGTCGTAGTAGTAGTCGTAGAAGTAGTAGTAGTAGTAGTAGTCGTCGTAGTAGTAGTAGTAGTAGTCGTCGTAGTAGTAGTAGTAGTAGTAGTAGTGGTAGTACTATTAGTAGTATTAGTGGAAGTAGTAGTAGTAGTCGAATTATACAAGTCGTAGTAGTAATAATAGTAGTAGCAGTAGTAGTAGTAATAGTAGTAGTAGTAGTAGCAGTAGTAGTAGTAGTAATACTAGTAGTAGTAGTAGTAATAGTCGTAGTTGTAGTAAAGGTAGGGGTAGTGCTGCTAGTAGTAGTAGTAGTAGTAGTAGTAGTAGTAGTAGTAGTAGTAGGAATAGCAGTATTAGTAGTAATAGTAGTAGTAGTAGTAGTAGTAGTAGTCGTAGTAGTAGTAGTAGTGGTAGTAGTGGTGGTAGTCGTAGTCGTAGTCGTAGTCGTAGTCGTAGAAGTAGTAGTAGTAGTAGTAGTAGTAGTAGTAGTAGTAGTAGTAGTACAAGTAGTAGTAGTAGTAGTAGTAGTAGTAGCAGTAGTAGTAGTAGCAGTAGTAATAGTTATTGTTGTTGATGCGTTTGCAGTAATAGTATTAATCGTAGTAGTAGTCGTAGGAGTAGTACTGGTAGTAGTGTAGTAGTAGTAGTAGTAGTAGTAGTCGTAGCAGTAGTAGTAGTAGTAGTAGTAG